AGTGATAAACCACTTGAGATGGAGACACAGTTCTGAAACTAACACAGAAATAACTTGGCTTTACCTAATAATCCAAAGCAAAAAAAATAATCATAAATGCTTCTGTTTTCTTACATCCACAAATCCATAACCGTTGATGCAACTGAGATCAACTATATATTCAGCATGCTTGTCTTTGCTACCTTTAAACTGCAGCTTTTTTAGAGAGACATGGAATGAATTGTAGGTTATTGGGTAGTCTGTTGTCCTTGGTCTTATTTCTGAAAGTATTATTAAATATTAAGCATTCTCTTGCCTACTCTGTGTGTAGAAAATTCAACAGACAATTCTGTAGCTGAGGCATGTTAGCTGAAATCTCTGTAGCTGAACTTGTTTTTGTGTATAGCTCTTTCTGGGAATTTCATTCAAATGCCATGTGGCTGGAAGTACAATATTTAATTCATTGCTCTTCACCAGGAGCAGGAGTTTGTACAGAAGCAGCAACAAGAACTGGATGCATCTCTGAAGAAAATTATTCAGCAGCAAAAGACAGAACTAGCCACTATTGAGCGAGATTGCCTCAACAGCAAACAGCAGCTGATGAGAGGTCAGTCTTTCCTTAAAGACAGTTATTTGTGCTGCATTTCAATAAAATGACGATATGGAATAATCTGCTTATAGAATAGCACTGCTCTTAAGGTGTGATTGTAGGCCACTTGTAAACATACACTTGCAGGTGGGAGAGAAAGGATTGTGTTGTACTTTCTAAACCTGCCTTCGCTCTGCAGCTCGCGAAGCTGCCATCTGGGAGCTGGAGGAGCGACATCTACAAGAGAAACACCAGCTCCTCAAACAGCAACTCAAGGATCAGTACTTCATGCAGAGGCATCAGCTGCTTAAGAGGCATGAAAAGGTCAGTATTGACTTTGACACTTTCTTTTGTGTATAATTATCTCCTTTTTTTTGTTTTTTTTAAATCATTCTCTGTGGTAGCTGCTTGCTCAGGCAGTACCCAGTGGGTATTTCCATGCTGCATAGATTCTGTACTTCTGTTGGAATAAGATAAACCTTGATCTTGCTTCACTAACTGCAGTATGTTGAAGTATGAGTCCTATTTTTTACCTTTTGATTCCTTTAAAAAAGAAATTCACAAAATAAGAACAAAACCACCACCATCCTTTTGCTATTCAAAATAACAAATAGTGCTTGTGCATAAAAATTAATAGGGTTTTGGCTTGTGGTTAAATAAATCTAGTCATTAGTAAATCATCTTGGAATTCACTGAGCAGACTGAGAAACTGAGCTTTGGGCCAAGAAATCTGTCTCAGCTAAATCCTGTAAAAGCTCAGAAGGCAACACATTTACTGCAAGGCATTTAACTTTTTTTTAATAGAATATACTAAATAAAGCAATGCAGTTCTTGTAAATCTAAACCCAGTATGGAGAAAGATGATAGGATTCCTTGGTCACTGGATCAGAATTGGCCTCCACTGCAAACTGACCTCTATATATTTGGGCATTTGTATTTTCATCCCCATAATGGCTGCTGCTTTCATTGCAGTAGTGGAAGTTCAGTTGTACTGAAGCTTCTTCTCTTGAATAGCACAGACACTTTAAAAATATAATTCAGGAGTTGAGCAACCATGTGTAAAGTGTATCTGCCTGTCTTCGAACATGAAAGAATTCAAATGGGATGAGCATGATCCAGAGCTCTCTGGAATTAAAGGAAGACCTCATCCTCCCCTTTGATATCATTTCTCAGACAACATGGGCATTGATGAGAAGAGGTGCTCTAATGTCAGAGGTATTCTGCATCATTTCCATGTGGTTAATGTTTCAGGAAACAGAACAAATGCAGAGATACAACCAGCGCCTTATTGAAGAGCTAAAGAACAAGCAAACTCAGGAAAGAGCCAGACTGCCTAAGATCCAGCGAAGTGAAGCAAAGACTCGAATGGCAATGTTTAAGAAAAGTTTAAGAATTAATTCATTAGCCTCTCCAGATCAAGATCGTGAAAAAATTAAGCAGGTAATTAACAAAGATGATCTTAATGGTGTAAATGCTTGATGTGAAACAAACACAAATGTGATCATGGGACAGAACGCACTCTGCAAGTCTGCAGGTGGTACAGGACCAGGTTGATGTATGGATGTCTGCTGCCACTCAGAAGGACCAGTCGAGCTGGAGAAGGGGGCAGACACGATCATCATGAAGTTCAACCAAGTCCTCCACCTCAGGGCCATTAAAAATATGTAAATATCTTAGAATCGTTCAGTTCAGTAATACTGTATGCCATACGTGTTCGTCCTGTCACGTACAGTTGTTCTGTTCAGATAAATTGTTGTTTCCAGGAGCATAATCTAAATTGTTTTTTCAATTGTAGTTTGCGATCCAAGAAGAAAAGAGACAGAAAAATGAGAGACTGGCGCAGCATCAGAAACACGAAAATCAAATGCGGGACCTTCAGTTGCAGTGTGAAGCAAACATCAGAGAACTGCATCAGCTACAGGTTAAAAATAGATGATAGTAGATAGACATCCAGTGGGAAGATTCTGCTTTGCCTGGGTCTGTTACTAACCTGAAACATTTTTTCCTGCATTTTTCCTCACGTGAATTCTTTCAGTTTTGCTTTCAAAGGCCTGCAGTGTACTGTCGAACCATACTCAGAAGCTTGCATTAGTAAGAAATCATTTTATGCCCAAGAAGATCATGAGCTGTAAGCAAATGATCACTCTCAGAGTATTTTCCAAGTTCCTAGTGCTGTTCTGTGTAGGCAGCATCTCCTTTTAACCTGCTCTTGCTCAAATGTCAATAATCACAACAGCAGTAGGCAGCACCAGGCACTGCCCACAAGACTTTCAAAGTAATACATGGAATTAGATGGTCTTTACAAAGTGCAGGCTGCCATTCATGCTTGAGCTTGTGGAAGGTATTTAGAAGGAATGCTGTCCTTACAGCAAGGAATTTGATGTCAGTTTTGGTATGTTTTTTGTAGAATACTGTATACTAAGGCTAAGGCCTTATTTTCCATGAAATCTGCTTTTTCCCTGCTTTAAGGACTCGAGGCAGTTTTGAAGTATTCATTGATCACCTGCTGATAACCTTTGCATAGAGAAATCTTTCAGTGGCCAAGGAAGCTAGATTTACTGATCGCTTTTCTTGCCTCCTGCGAATGTAGCCCCTGGCTGTGTTAGTAATACACCTCAGTAAAACCCCAAATACTGTGGGAACCCAGTATGAGAATCTGCTCAAGTAAAATTGAGAAGATTAGGGCTGCTCTGAGCCTCCAACCAAGAGAAGTTGGCCCTTAGCTGCACTCAGGAGTAGCCAAGTGCTTTTCATTTGTTTTTTTTTTTTGTTTGCTTGTTTATTTCGTACTCTGCTTCAGACCCAGTTGGGCCTGCAGCTACAGAAACAAGAAGGTTTTAGGGGCTGCAATTACCAGCTGCTCTTAATACAAAGATTTGATGCAGCCAAATACTTAACTATTAACTTGCCATGCTTCAAAGCTTTCTCTGTAAGTTAAGCAAATGCATGTACAACTTAAAGAATGTGAAGCTGGTGTGTGATTTAATTACCTTTCTTGTTACAGGGCTGTTTCAGTGCAAGCACATCTCTCTCTCTAGACCCTATCTGTTAGGCTCAGCTCTGTAGCACTGACAGTTGAAATTCTCAGCTCCTTTGCTGCAAATCCTGCTTCCTTTCTAATGTCATCAATTTTCATAAATTATAGACACTTTCTTTAGGAAGCAAAGCAGAAATGCTGTGTGACCTCAGATAGCTCTATTAGGCTGTAAACTCAGTGCTGACTAACGCTGTCAGCTGCTCCCTTAGTGGCAGTCAACAGTGTGGATTTACAGATATTTCTTATCTCAATTGGTTCTGATGGAAAGATCAGCTTTTGATAATGTAACCTCGTACCATACTTCTATCTTGTAATTATGTACGTCAGTGTTTACACAGAATAAGCTAATTAAAAAGAATTAGGACAACATATGTCACTGTACCAACACTGAGTTGTCTAATCTGAATTAGTTTTATAAGGATTATCTTTGTCTTGTTTTAAGAATGAAAAATGCCATCTACTGGTTGAACACGAGACTCAGAAGCTCAAAGAACTAGATGAAGAGCACAGCCAAGAACTGAAGGAATGGAGAGAGAAATTGAGACCGAGGAAAAAGGTAAATTGGAGCAGTCATGAGTCAGAAAAGAAGGAAGTGTGTTAAATCATGCAAATGCAGACCTTACAAGAAATAACGCAGAGGAAAACCAAGCTACTGTACAAAACTGCCACAGTTCACTGTGTAATGAAAGAAGTTGAAATACGTGCAGTAAAGAAGGCGTGCGTGTTATCAGGCTCTTACTGTGTTCCTTTTGCAGGGCATGAGTATATATTTCCATATAAAACAGCTGAAGCAAATCTGGTTTAGGAATTTCAGCAGCCATTAGGATATTACAGCACCTGACAGCTCAGTAACAAAGAGAGTGGTTGTGGTAGTTGATTTTTTTTTATTTCAAGCTGGAAAGCACCAGAGTTTCACACAACTTAAAGAATAACCAACAGGCAGATGGTGCTGGTTCTTGTGTTGCTGGGACTCGGTAGTTTTGCAGGCTGATAATTGTAGGTGACTTTTTGCAGTGGTGTGTGCAGTTACATCGCATCAGACTGGCAGCAGGGTAACAGCCTTGTTGTGTTTTCTTTTATTCCTCTGACAATCTGATTTTGTTCTTAGACGCTGGAAGAAGAATTTGCCAGAAAACTGCAGGAACAGGAAGTTTTCTTTAAAATGACTGGAGAATCTGAATGCCTTAACCCTTCCACACAAAGCCGCATTTCCAAATTCTACCCAATCCCCAGCCTTCACTCCACTGGGTCGTAACTCTGGGAACTGCTGCAGGTTTTTCATATTTGGAATTCTTCGTTTCTTCCTCCTTGTCAGCTATCGTGCTCTATCTGCAGTGTGCATTCGAGGACCTGGCACTTTTTGTTTTCAGTGGAGACAATCGGTGTCATGATCACTTTTATTTTTATTTTTTTTACTTCTTTGAATGGAGGAAAGGAGGAAAGGAGTTGCTGCGTAACGGTAATGTGACGTCCTTCACATGTTTCAAGAATACGTGTGGTTTTTTTTAATCTCGGTCTCAAAGTTTAAGTTATCTATGGTTTTGACTTTAAGAAAGTGAGTCTAGAACAAGAATTGTAATATTTCTTATCACAAAAAAACGTTCATGTGAATTTTTAAACGGTGTAATATTAGTTCTGCTACTGTGTTTTTAAGCCTCATTTCTACACAAGAGAATTCCATAACTGAAACTGCCCTGAGGGGCTTAAAATGTTACAGTCTTGAGCAGTGTTCTCAGAGCAAGGACTGAAGCAGATTACTCAGAGCATGCCAATAACCAAAAAAAATGAACCCTTGTGCTCACACGATTGGTAACAGTAAAAGCCTTTGCAACTTTTTTAGAAGAGAAACCTCTGGCATAAATTCAACTGAGCTGATCTCCATTGCGCGTTTTGTCCATTAGTTCCATACTGAAATGGGGTGCTAGTTTAATAAAGACAGTGCCTGAAACACTTTGGTATGCTGATCCTGGTGACAGGGTGGTGTTTTGTCATTTGAAAACAAAACAAACACTCCATTGCATTGCTGTTACTGTACAAAACAGAAGATTTCTTGCTGCTACTGCCATTTTTGTTGTAAATCCTCACCCTAAAATATTTTGCACTAAAATATGTAAAGGTGAAAGAAATGCTAACTTTAAAATACCTGGTTTATTAATTTCCTTATTTCCAACCTATTACAGGTGGTTATTTCTACAAATGGAAAACCTGTAGAATGTATTTTTTAGAAAGCAATGTGCAAAATGCACGTGGTCTCTCTAACTGTACCTGCAAAGGGTAGAGCCATCTTTCTGTTCTCACCAAAGCCTGTTTGTTTGAACTCCATCAGAGCATGGAGGTGGGTGGTCATTTTTACAGGTAACCATGGCAGAGTCTTGATTACAAGTGTTAGAGTTGGTTGTTTTGTTGTTGTTGCTTTAGTCATTTTATTTTATAGAAAGATTTAAGTTAAATATATAGACAAAATTCTTAATGAAGCTGTTTTTTTTTTTTCTTTTGCATTGCCACGTATTAACATAGATGGTTTTTATTTTTCAAGTTTATAGAAGTACAATAAGTTATTTACCTGACTGATCTGCAGTGAAAAAAGTCTGAAATGTTTCTGACATAGCTGGTGGGGAAATAAAAGCGCGTTAGGTCACTTTTCCTGCAGTCCTTTTGGTGGCAGTCATATCGACAGTACTGTAAGCTGTACTTTGGTATGCCGTGTGAAATTGTAAAATAGTATTTCCTTTGTTATTTGAGGCCTAACTTCCTATTCTCTTTGGGCATCAACTGTAACATTTGTTTTGCTAGCTCGCATTAAATGTGAGGCTGGTGAACGTGATATGGTGTTCATTTCATGGGAACAGCACTGATGCATGTGAATGAACTCTTAAGTTAACATAGGATTTGAATCAGATGCAGTAGAAAACTTGGATGCTGAAATCTTTGGATGCTGAAGCTATACTTTCTCAATGAAGACACTTAACAGTTACAGCACAGTATCAACAGTTGGAAAATGCATGTTTTAATTTAAAATCTGTAACTTTTTGATAGCGTAATTACTTTACTAGCTAGCCCTAATTTCTGGCATTATATAAAAGTGTATTGTGTACTGTTGTAAATTCACATACCATATCTCTAGAGCGTTATCTATTGCAAAATACACTGTTCTTTAAGTTGTTTCTTCTGTAGGGTGAAATACGTCTCTGGCCTTCACTTTCTAAGCTCCGCTGTCATAAATTGACTTACTAAAATCAGCAGGTAATCTTCATCTCTGTATTTCAGAATTAGTTTGCAGTTTTGTATGCAGTAGGCTCAGTGACTTATCTGGGGAGTAGACGTGGCAAGTACATCTCCCATTCTGGGTTCTCTCTGCCTTTATCATCATTAAATTCTCAGAGAAAAGTTAATCTTCTTCCATTGGTGGCAGTCTCAGTGATAACTTGTTAACGGTGTAGCCAGTTACCTCTGTCTAAATCTTTAATTCGAAGATCCTTTTCACACAAGCTCCTGCAATCTGATCTCAAGTGTAAATTGTCCAAACAAATAACAGTTCTGTGTTGGAGGGAGGGACTGACTGTAGTGATTGCTAGGATTTGATGTCTGGTGTGAAAATACGTTTGTTCTGGGATAACAGGAGCTAACGTAGGTACTTGCACGCTTAGATTGATAAAGTTGTTGTTGCCAGTATTGTGCAGTGTAAAAGGGGAGGTGTATGCTATTATGTCGATGTCAGAAGATCCAGTTCAAGTGAGTTTTGTCTCACATAGGCCTGGCAGAGCTCTTCTGACATATAAAATCCAATCTCTCTACTATCATGTCACATAATCCCTTTAATGACACACTTTTGCTTCACCCACACTTCCACGTCAGACCCGTTCTCTCAGACTGCCCCTCTGCTGCCATCTGTCACATGGCAATAAACTGTAAAGGAATAATGGTGGGAAGATTTAACTTCTACTGCCATCCCACCAACGTCCACCTCTGACATCATGAAGCAACATAACATAATAAAATAGGAGGCATTACTCTGAGAGCAGCTCTTGTACATCACAGCTGGGAAAATGAAGAATGGCAATAAATAAAGTGACGCAGTACAGTGGAGTGCAGTGATTGCCCTCTTGCATTTACAATTGATTAAAAAAAAAATTGGCCATCTTCTTGGCAAGCTCGTGGCCTCTGATAGATCCAGACTTCCCAATTTTTCTTCTTCATCGTTACATTAGCTTTCTTGGGATGAGACCTTGTAAATACAGGAGTCGGTGGCTATGCCCCAAAATCAAGTCATGTTTCTGAGAGTACTGGCCAAACTCTGACAGCTTTGGGCCCTAGGAGCCTGTTCCAGTGCCTGATGACCCTCTGGTGAGGAAGCATTCCCTGGGACTCTTCCCAACACAGAGTTGTGCAGTTTCCTCATTTACTGGAGTTCAGCTGTTTGTGGCATCCTCTAATTCTCTGCCAATGCAGTCCTTAGCATTTGCAATCCTGTCATTTTACTTCATCATCTGTATTTCTGGATCTCAGAAAAACTTCCTTGTGTTGATGTGCCCACACATGTTCCTGTTCCCTGACTTCTAATAGCAGCTTCATATCAGATTCAGAATGATGCCTGGGGAGAATTAACCTTGATTCCCAGACAAGCTGAGGATGCCCTGGCATATTTCTAGTCTTACAAAAGATGAGAACAGGTAAAAGGAAGGAAAAAGAAACTTCATAGCATTTGTCCAGCTAGGAAGGGGACATTGTTTGCAGACCTTTTAGTTCTCTGTCCCCTTCCTCTCACCTCAGTCCTTATCCTTTCTGCAACTTTCTGTAACTACTGCAGTACGGAAAGGGCAGCTGGGCCTCTGGAGAAAGGAGAAGAGCTCTTAAGTAAAATGTGCTTGAAACCACCCATTTCCACTGTGCTGAAAGCAGAAGGGAGGGACTGAGTCCTAAGATGCTCTCATTTCGCAAAATCTCTTCCAGTTTCCATGCTGGGTAGAGCCTCGTTCTTATGGATTATCAGCTTGGCTGAGAATGGTGGAAAGAATAGAAAGAAACCAGAACAAGAGAGCTGCTGCTCTGTCACACCCTCAGTCTCTAAGAAAAACAAGCAGAGTGCTGTTGAGTAATAAAACCTCAAAAGCCAGGGCATCTCCAAGCTCGTGTTGTCCCAGAAGTTTGTTGAATGTTTTGTGTTAACAAACCAAGTCATTTTGCCTTACAGGAAGCAACCAAAAATCATGAGCCAGATGAAAAATTGGCAACGGATCTCTGTATGTTTAGCTCATGGAAATGAACTTGCAGTAGCAGCCATACAACAGTTTTGGTTGGTTTTTTTTGTTGTTCTTGTTTTTAAAATTAACTTGATTTCATGGCTTTCTGTAGAATATTGTAATAATTCTGCTGTAAATACAATAAAAATCACAGTTTGCTGAGAGGGTCTCTGTTTTCTTTTCAGAAAACTCATATGAACTTAAGTGATCTGTGAGTGAGCAGAACAATTTGTAATTTTTATCAAGTGAGGATAAAAAAAATACTTTAACCTTGCGTGGTTGCATGGGCCCTGGCTCTCCCTCTGCCCACTGTGGGAGCAGAGATTGAACACAAACCTCATTTTGCCTGACAGCCTGGCTTGCACCTCACAGCATGTTGAGTAGCTCTGGCATTGCTTGAGGAGCACAACTGCTGCACTTCAACATGACTTTGAGGTTTTTTTTGTGGTTGTTTTTAAGATAGATTTGAAAGGAAATGTCTCAGCAGAGTCAGGTGAAGAGAATGATTCACCCAGAAGGATACAAGTTTAATGAGCCAACACTGCAAGCTGCTGTATACTCTGAAAACCAACCAGGTTTGTATAGAACCTTGTTCCAAACTCTCCTGAAGACTGGAAACCAGAGATCCCGAGACACAATGCACTGGCTGCTTGGTCACGTACTGGTGATGAGAACGAAGGAAAACTGCCACCATTGGCCACTCAAACCCCACAGCATGTCTGCCCACAATCACAGTGACTCTGGTACAGGCTATGCTGTAATACCGACAGGCAAACTTGGAGTACAAAACACACTTTAATTGGGATGTTTACATTAACAAGTTTTTCCTAATGTTCCAAAAATAGAATGCAAAAATGTTTTTTAAAAGTCAACAAATGACATTGAAGAAAAGTGCTTCAGATCTGTCCCTGTGCATGTCACAGCAGGCCGTGCTGCACAGCACAAGAGGCCCATGCTCCCTGCAGAGCATTTGCATGTGCTGTGCCCTGCGTGCTGCCACAACCTGCTCTGTAACAGGATTTGGACAAAGGATTCAGGCTGGGGAGCGAGGTTAATATATCCTGAGTGCCAGAGCACTGAAACATTGAGGTGGAAGGGAACCACATTCCAAAATGGGTCGCAGGTGGGATGACAATAAGTGCTGACCCCAGAGATCTGAAAGCACTCCCAGTCCCAGCCAGGACCCTGCTCAGTGCCATCACCACCTGATGCAGCAGCCCCTGCCCCACAACAGCCCGCACAGTGCTGTGCTCATGAGGCTCAGTCCTGGCACTTCCTGCAGGGCTTTTGGTCTGACTTTTACCACTTGTTTGGTATGGGGAGGCCTTTTTTTTTTTCCTGGATATGTGGCTTGTTGTTTAAGACAAGTTTTTATGTAGCTCAAAATAATACAAGACTGGACTGAGAGGGGTAGGAAGCCCTTGTCAGCACAAAACCACAAACCTGGATAGGCTCAGGGGCCATACATTTGCAACAGGAGGAAACATCCACACTAGAGCAACACTGGACATATGTAAAAGAGCCATTCAGATCTCAGCAGAAACACTGAACTATCAAGTCTAAGTACTTAGCTGACTGGCAAGGACATTTTAGCAGTAAGACAGCGAAGATCCACACGAAATCTCTTGAGCTGCTAGGGGTGGAGCCCAGTGCAGAACTGACTTTGCTCTTCCCTTAAACCCCAACACTTCTTCTTTTCCTTCTGCCACCATACACTTGTTCACCTGGGGACAAGGAGAAAGTCAGAAGGAGGACTATTTGAAGAATTCATGTAGAGAAAAAACAAGACAAAAAACACTACTCCATAAAACAACCAAGAAAACCAATCCAAGCTGTGTCAGCATTTCCCACCAGATGGGCTGGTGTCCAGAGAACACTCCAAGCCCTGACCCAGCTCTCCCCAGGGATGGCAGATGTCCGTACCTTTCTCGCCTTTCTCTCCTTTTGGTCCCCTGTGCCCATGGCGTCCTGGTGGGCCCATCGGCCCCGGGTCACCTGAAGGAATGACAAAAACAAGTTGTCCACAAGTGTGATTGGGATGGGTCAGAGTAAGGAAGAACAAATTAGGCTGCTCGTAAAGACCGCCTTCACTACATGGAGGCTCTGACCTTAAGAGCAGCCTGGTTCCAACCACCCCTTTGGTCCCAGTGCTGCTTCCTGGGCAGCAAGAAGTTACTGGCATCATAGGCTTGAGAGGGAAAGGATGGCAAGCCTTACCTTTGGGGCCGGGATAACCCCGCTCTCCTTTCTCACCAGGTGGTCCCCGGACAGTACCGTGTGCTGGAGAGGAAAACAGAGCATGAGTGAGTAGGATAAACCACCTGAAAGACTGTGTGTTCACTTAGAGAAGCAGTGAGTCACACTGGAAGGACATTGCTCTGGGTTAAATGGGATTAGACAGGAGCAATTTTTTCAAATATTTTCATTCCCAGTAGACCTGGTGCAGGTTGGGATCTCCATCTCACCAGTGCTGCTCTGCCACCCAGCCCAAGCATCCTGCCTGTCACCTGTGCTGGAGCAGGTCCCTGCTTAGAGGAAACTTTGAGAGCCATGAGAAAGCTCTCTTTTTCTGCTGTACGTGCACCAGTCCAACCAGCCTAAAATGAGCCCAGGGGTTGCAAGCTCAGGCCATAAGGGTGAATTTTCTACATGTAGTGGGAAAACTTGATGTCCTTCCTAATGATGAGACGACACATCCCCAGCAAAGGAGGAAGAGGGATCTGCCTCTAACTTTGAATCTTGACTGAACTTCTGCAGCATGCAGAAGTGAAAGGATCATTGGCTCCACAAGAGGCTGGAGAGACCTCACATGCATGAGCTAGAAACATCAGGTCAACATGTCACTTACTTCTGAAGAAGTCCATGAGGTCCTCAGTGACATTGCCATAGGCTGCAAAGACTCTGCTTATTCCAGGAGGTCCAGGAGGTCCTGGCGGGCCTGGGGGCCCCTGTCCAGTGTAAGACATGAAGTCCTGGAGGATACCTTGGCCTGAAGAAATAAAGACATCATTTGAAAGGAGCTGTTTCTGGATGGTAGGGCAAGAGAGTGTAAGGGAAAACTACAGGGAGCAGGAAGAGTAAGGAAAATGAACAGGTAACAGCATGCGTAAGGAGCTGGGAGTTGTGTGCCAAAACAGGAAGGCTCAGGAAAAAAAAAGCATCACACTCACTTTGTAGGTTCTCTGACACACGTCGAGCCAGCTCACTGTAATCCAAGGATCCAGTAAAGGAGTTGCTATAAGATCTGCCTGGACCCGCTGATCTCCTGTGTGACTCCTCAGCTGTCAGCAGCCCATCAAACGACCCATCGCTGCCCAGGGACGCACCATAGGAGCCATCGTTGCCCATGGAGGCACTGTATGATGACCTGCTGCTGCTCATGGAGCTGCTGTAAGAGCTGCCTGTGCCAAGTGATCCTCCATGGGATCCCTCGGCGCCCATGGATCCTCCATGCGACCGTTCAGAAGCCAGTGAATCATGATACAGTGAAGACATAGACCCAGCCACCAAACCACTATCTCCTTTGGGTCCTGGTGGTCCCCGTGGCCCAGGGGGCCCAGGAGGCCCTGAGATGTAGCTTCGAACTTCATCACCTGCAAAAACACAAGAGACAATGAGAGGACATCAGGGACACTGGGGTACCAGAGCCCCCAGGCTCCACAGATGTCACGTGGCCACAATCTGAATGAAGACGAGGGTGAAATTCTCCTGACAATCACTGCAATAACCCTCATCCACTGCCATGCATCAGGCAACAGGCACATATATCAACCTGAATCTCTGCAGATGGGAAAATTAAAGCCTGACATCCTCCTCTGCCCCCATCTCTCCCACATTATTGGGTGCCTCACCGCAGAAACCTGTGCAATGATTGCAGAGGGGTGCACTCCTCTCAGGCCAAGCACAGCACCCCTGCTGAACAGCATTCTGTGACCAGTCTCCCAAAAATAGCCCACTCTCTTGCTGTTCAGAGGCTCCCCTGGATGACTTGCCAACACGAGAGCCCAGACCAATGCTGCTCACAACTGGCTTACCGTTGCCCTCCAAATTTCACATCATCCTTTGCTCTGTAGGAAGATGTTCACCAAAGAGAACACTTTTCCAATAGCAAAGGTCTGCAGATGACCTCACTAACGACTCATTGCTCAGTACAGGTCACTTTTAACTGCACAGTGCTTGTTCCTTTAGGCTCACAACATGCACTTTGGTCTTGCAGTTGGACTGAAAGGAAATCTGCCTACAGAGTGAACTGCGGTCTCTCTACAGCCTGTAAGGTGAGTACTGGGATAAGCAATAAGCCTGTAGGAATGAAGTGTTGCTCCATCACTTCTTCAGGAGAGGCTGTCTCAGCTGCAGTAGAGCCAGCAGCCCACACAAGACAAAGCATGGCTGTGGACATGTGCAGAGGGGGTGGACAGCATTTCCTTACTCTTCAGGTACTGGATCAGCTCACTCCTGAATTCATCACTGTGGGTGATGTCAGCGTAGGACAGGAGGCCAGTTCCTGAGAAGCCTGGTGGTCCCGGAGGGCCAGGAGGGCCAGGTGGGCCCTGCATGCCAGAGATAGAAGAGTATCCAACACCTTGAGAGATAAAGAGAAAAGAATGATTTTGACATTGAGAGAACAAGGACATTGCATGGTGTAGTGGTTTCAAGCACAACCAGAAAGGGATGGGGGGGAAAGGCCTCTTTCACCAGGGAGAAGGACAATGTCATGATATGGAATACAGATAAAACCAGGACACGTGGCTAGGAATCTTAAAAACGTAAAGGCTCCAACCCCAACTTCCAGCCCTTTCCAGCTGATGTTGATGAGATTTTTAGTGACCTTGTTCCCAGTGAGCAGTCACAGGCCCTAGTAAGCTAAATCTCAGGCCCAGTCCCTCCAGCACCTCCAATCAAAATCTCCCTGCCAGCTGTGAGAAAAGCAGGTGCTTTACTTTGTAGGTAAGCAGAGATGTCCTCCAGAGAGGTGCCAGATGATCCAGGGATCCCTGGGGGTCCTGGGGGCCCTGCAGGCCCAGGGGGTCCGACAAGACCACTGAATTCAGAGTCTGCAAGACACAAGGAAAGAGAAGATGTTATCAAAACCACTGCAATCCTGATGAACTTTCCTGACAATATAGATAATGCCAACTAAAACCAAGCACGAGATGCTTTTTTCTCCCCAGTTCCTGGCACACCTCACTTCCTTGAATTGAGATGTCATACATGGAAGTCAGAAGACCCCAAAGAGTGTCAAAATCCAAATTTAAGCCCACTTTCAAATACGGAACTGCTTTTAAAAAGTGACATAAAAAGCTGTTGTATGCTACCACTCTCCACAAGATCTCAGGATCTGTCTGCAGCCACTCACTGTTTCTACAGGTCCTAGCAGAGCACAGTGCTGCTCCTAAGGCAGAGGTGATCACTGGGGACACATAGAGGGTTATCTGTGGTGACAGCCCAAGGGGGAAGTTCTGCACTTAGCAATGAGTCATTTGCAGATAAGGGATGGTGGCAGTAAAAAGCCCGTAAAAAGATCCTGTAGGTGTGTAGGAACCTGTATCAGGGATCAAGAAGTTGGCTTACTTCTCAGGTATGCTGTCAGTTCACTGTAAGATATGCCTGGTGAACCTGGAGGCCCAGGCGGTCCAGGGAGTCCAATGCTCATACCAGAACCTGCAAAATCAAACATATCCAACAGCATCACGTTATCACAACAGGCTGTGTTGTAGTGTGGACAGACAGGCTGAGGGCCCGCTTGCAGGAGAGCCTTCTGCACCAGCCATCTGTGCTAAGAAGCAGAGCTTAAGCCATTTTCTTGTTGGGAGTTAAGGTTTGCCCTTAATCCAAATACAAAGGTATGTACAGACTGGCAGGTATCAGGCTTCTTCCTCTATTCTTAGCAAGAGCTCAGCATGCTTCGTGAACCTCCAACATTAAGCCTGCCAGGACATGCAGCTCATCTGTGGAGCCAGACATATGTGCTGCTTTCCCTGTGCCTGCCTATCTGCAAGTGGCTTTGTTGCAAAATTCTGCATCTTTGGGATTTGATTTAATGAAATGTCACTGGTGATAAAATGCAGTTTTTCTGCTTGAGCTGTTGGGGTGCTGCTGTTAAACAGCCTTTTCCTTCTTTCAGAGTCAAAAAGCCAATGCCTATCATCTTTGGAGCAGCTCACTGATGGAATCTGGTCTCCTAGGGTGGTTCAGAGAGACTGAGCGTGGTCCAGGCTGCTTCTTCAAGCAGGCAGTTGCCCTATCAGAATTTGACATTTTAGCACTCTTATAAAGGATGCTCCAGATTCCTTTCTGCCCAGTGGTTCTTAAATGCCATATTCATCCCTTTACAGTCGAGAAAATGAAGCACAGAGGTGGAATCTGTTTCACTTTGAAGTTAACTTCTCAGAGTTAAAAAGGGATTGACAGGACTTCTAAGTTGGCTAAGGTGAGGTGACATCTCTATGATCAGTTTTTAGCAAAGCAAAACTCACTTCTTGTGTCTGTGCATAATATCTTAGATGCAGGACATCTTCATTCTTTTAGAAGTCTATCACAGCCCCTGTGAGGAGGTCTCTGTACTTAGAGATTCGCTCAACCAACATGAGAAGATCTTTCACTAACTGTACGATTTTTTTTGTCAGCTTCCAAAGGAACAGAGAGAAAAACACACTAATAAAGACAATTACTTGTCAAGTAGCTAATAAACCGTCTGGTCAACTCATCATAATCCAGTGACAGAGACATTCCATCTACTCCTGGTCCAGGAGGTCCTGGTGGGCCCCGAGGTCCAACTAGATACTGACGAATTTCCTCTCCTGCAAATAAAAGAGATACTTTAAGAATATCCAGCTGCTTAAAAAAAAAAAGTCAAGTGTGAGGAGTTCCCAGCCTGTGAGCTGAGACCCAGCACACTAGAGAAATCACCAGATTCTATACATGCAAAGCTCCCTTAACCTTGCACCTCCCTTTCTGAGTGTCATTTGCCCTCCGTATGGTATAAGCCCACAACTGCAACGCGTGTAGGAAAGAAGATAGAGCTGGGTATGCTGCCCATCTTAAAAACAAAGACATAGTAAGGCTTTGGGGTGGGCAAAAAGAGATGGGGAACCTTAAGGGACTGGGTGAGTGGGAAAATGAAACCCCAGGCTTTAGTGGGAGACTGGGGAAAACCACTGGGAATTCCTTTAGAGGAGGGATGTAGACAGATGCCACCTAGAGAGTCAAGGAGAGTAGGAAACTGCGGTCATAGCAGTGGGTACAAAAAGCAAACCAAGTGAACAAGTATAACTTTTGGAAAGCATGCAAACTCAACAGTATAAGACACGTAAATTTGTCTCCAGAGGACTTGGAAGGAGACATTGCAGTTCACTGTGCAGCACCTATGGCAGGCCTTTGCCCTCCAAGGCAGCTGCTGGTAATCACAATGGGAGCCGGGAGACAAGAAGGAAAGGCAACTTTGGGATGCTTTACCCACATCTCCACATTTCTCTTCACAGTCACTTACTCTGCAGCAGGTTCAAAAGTTCTTGGTACAAAACAGATGTAGTTGATACTGAACTGGCAAATGACTGATAATGATCTGAAGAGCCTGGGAGAATGAAAAGGTTTTATGTTAGGCAAGATCAAGAGAAGACAGAGGGTGAAGAGGGGTAGAGGAGGAACAGAGGAAAGCTGAATTAATCCAGTTTAGCTAGTAAAATGGGTTTCCCATGCAGGACAACACAAATCAGTTGCAGTTTCACATAGCATGGTCATTTCCACAGCAGTGTGGTTTCTGCTCCAAGATTCTAAGCTGCTTCCAAAAGCACTGGGAATTTCATCTACTTTAGGAGGGCTCTGGGAAGATAAGATAGCCCTAAAAATCTGACACAACATATAAAATCAAATACAGACACTTGTGCTTGGGACATGGGGGCATTAAAGATTCTAACAGCTAACATTTAATATGAGACTACTTAAACAGCAACTATTAGTTAATCTAAAGGTTCAGAGGTCGCTTCAGCTGTGTGAAGTCCTAGGCCAAGATGTGCAAAAGACAGGCCCGAGGAGCTGCACCTTAAAGAGTGTTGTCTGCCCTCATGTCCTTAGCAGAGAGTGTGACCTGATACTCACAGAGCTTACCAGCACAGGAAAATGATCCTTACTTGTCATATAGCTCATAACACGGGTAGCCAGCTCTGCAAAATCAAAACTCTTCCCATCTGCAGTGGTGAGGATTCCAGGTGGGCCTGGAGGGCCTGGAGGACCTTGGGCACCAGTCAAATAATGCCTTATGTTATCACCTAGGAAGGAAGCCCAAGATACACCCATGTCACTAGGTGAAAATAATGGCCAGATACACAACCACTAAATTCCCTTTTTTGTTTTATTTTGGGGAGGGGAAGGGGTTGGGGGTGAAAATCAGGGCCAATGAAAGAAAGTTCTGCAGAGGCTACAGTAGGCAACGGCACTCAGTGTTATTCAACAAAAATAAAGCCAGAGCAGTAGGGCTGCTGCTTCTAACAGGAGAGTGACAAGGGGCTCAGGGAACAAAAGGAAGACAGGCGTGCATCAGCTGACCTGTGCAAATCCTGGTTATACTCACTTTTCAGGTAATCAGCGACATAATGCTGAATCTCTTGAGAGGAACTTCCACCTGGGCCAGGAGGACCTGGTGGCCCAGGAGGCCCCGGGGGTCCCTGGATTTGTCTGGATCCACCTACAGAAAATATTGCAAGGAAAGTTTTTGGCATGTCTGCATTAGACCAAGAAACGCTAATGGATGCTTGCAGCGAACCCTTCCCTCTTCTGGGAAGAGTTTTGGGAATGAACTATAGAGTCCTTCTATCTCCAAACATAGTTTAAACATGGACTATTAAGCAGTCTAACATTTTCATTTCATTTGGTATGTTATCATTCAGCCTACCCAACTTTGCAGGGTTGAGCCCAGAAACCTCCCTGGCTTCAGACAGATAGATAATGCACTCATTTTGTGCACTAAATGCAATGCTCTGCAGAAACATGCATAGAGATCCAAAAAGCACTCAAACTCTTTAGGTTAACCCCACTACTCCTAATCCCATCTGGCTCGTGGAAAACCAGCTTAAGGACCTCTTATTGGTCTCCACAGCAAGGTGTAAAGTGGGCCCTGCATGACTCCTGTCACCACAGCGTAGAGACACCTCACGTTCTTTAAGGTTTTGTACATAAATCCAATCAGCATTAAACTGACATCCACATTTTCATAAAACTCAAAGGAATTTTTTGTAAATCTCCACCAGCAATGCCAGCATTTCCTGATAGTATCAGAGCAATAATAGCCTCTCACCTCGAGATGTTCCTGGGATGCCAGGAGCGCCTGGGACACCTGCATCACCTGGATACCAGAGTGAGAGAGACAGACAATTATTTGTGCATCCTCTAGACCTGGTTTGTAAAACAGCTAAGCTATGGTGTCACCAGACAGGCAACCACCTAGTCCTTGCAATGACTAAATTGGATGAACAGCTTGTTTGGGAAAAGCAGAAGAGGCCACAGCAGCCACCCAGGGCCATGTTCTTGAAGAAACTCATTTGCCATGCTTCTGTTGTGCCTGAAAAGGCAAGGGTGGGAATAGCTCTAATTCTCTAGAGACTAGGTTGCTCCATCCTTCAGTTTTAACCAGACACGGCTGTGTGAAGCCACTAACACAGAAAGAAGGTAGATTTTAACTTCACCTTTAGGTCCTGGTGGGCCTGGTGGGCCTGGAGGTCCCTGCATGGTGACTGTACCACCTGTCAATTGCAAAGGAGAGTCAGAAATTCAAAGGTATAAACCTTGTGGATTTTGCCCCTGGCTTCAGCTTACGGACAATACATTCAAATGAGGAAAAAGGGTACAGACTGACCATGGGAAGAGAATCCTGGAAGGCCAGGTTCACCTGGTTCACCTGCATGGGACACAGAAAAAGAAGAGGTGTCATATACAAAATTACACTGCACCTCAATAACAAGCCCTGGAAGCCTCCTTACCTGTGAATCCTCGTGGACCTCGTTCACCTGTGAACATGGAAGCAGAGGCGCATTGTTAGCTTTTTTTTGGCTTTGATTTCCTACAATATCTCAGCCCACACTGCAGAATACTCTCATGGCCTTCAATTTACAAGGCAGAGTGGGTAAAGGGAGTAAATCCCACCTCTTCCTGCCAGGCGAGAGCTGAGCTAAGTTCAACAGGGACACCTCCTTACACTGACTTACCAACCCCATGTTGTATTTAAAAAAAGATTGTTCCCCACTGATTCCCTCTTTAATGGCAAATCTGACATGACACAAAGTTGGGATCTGAAGAGAACAATTGCCTTGAAACCAGCAATATAGGCTAACAAATTTCTTTGAAAATGACTTTTTTTTTTTTTAATGGAAGCAGACAGGAGTCCTACTTAGTGATCATTCTTATAGCCACAGAAAGGCAGGAGAGTTTCTGCCTCCAAGAGCTTCCTTCCTTCTTTTCAGTCTGTGTTGCTGTCACCCACCCAGTATCTTGGAAAGGCAGTGGGACTCACCTTGGTCTCCCTTCGGGCCTGGTGGACCTGGTGGACCGGGTGGGCCAGAGACAAATGTTTCTGTAAGTAAAACAAACATTTCTTTATGACAGCCAACAAGACATGATACAAGTTTCCTTTGGCTCCATCTTTATATAACCAAGGACAGACCAAAACAAACAGGACATTCTCAGGGCACAAGGGAGTGAATGAATCTGAAGGGCCTACCTGAGGTGGACACTGAAGATCCTGGTCTCCCTGGTGGGCCTGAAGGTCCTGGCAATCCTATGCAAGAGAGACACAAATAGATTTCAGGAAGAAAAAACTTCAGTAACATGAGTAAATATATCAGAACTGCTCCACCTCCAGCCATGGACATAACTCAAATATTTCCAGGTACAGGATAGTATCATTGTTTTTTCCATGCATACCTATCCATCCTTGCTATTTTTTTTTCCATTATCATCTGCTATCACCAAATGTAGGACAGAGAAATGTGTTTCTTTGTGGTGCAGTATGTCTATCCCAGATGGCTTCTGTTTCACTGATAGGGAAAGTTCATAGCCTCGCCCTTTGCTACTGACTAGAGAGCAATGAATGGGGTTATGCTCCTATCTCATGCCTTCCTGCAGTATTCTCTTCTGGCTTTGTAAGGTAAAATTACCATTTTGCTACAGGAAGTGGTGTAAGGATGTGTTCCTCGTGATCAGTGCTGCTACATCTGTCTGCAGATGGAAGTTAAGGCCATACAAGAATTAAATACAAAATTATTTTGTTGTATTCTATGGGGATACGAGCACACTGAGCATCTTCCCTTTATGATTCACAAGTGTGTCTAGCAAATCGTGTCCAAAGCAAATCTCATCCCTTGGGCAGCATCTTACTGCTGTGAAACTGCATTATAAGAACCCATCACTGTGGGAGATTCCACTTCCAGTATAGTCAGTCCTAACAATTTCCAACGTGTCCAAGATCATTACATGACATTCTGCAAAGCACAGGACAGAGGCACTGAAAAAACCACCCACTTTCCAGGGTTGTTTCAGAGAAACAAGCTCTTACCAGGGGGACCACGAGGCCCAGGAAGTCCCTGCACAGATTCACCTGACAATGAAATAAACATGATTGTTATAGGGTATTTACAGAGCCAAATGCACAGCCCAGAAGTGTGCTGAGGTGGTGGTGTGTCCCTGCTTACGTACTGATCTCCACTATATTACATACCTGGTGGTCCAGGGGGACCTGGTGGTCCTGCTCGCCCTTGTATATCTCCCAACACTGTGCAAGTGAAACACAAAAAAAGGAAAAATTGTTGCTGTGAAGCTAATGCTGTTAAGGAGACAGTTGTTGTGTTGCTGATAGAAGTTCTTACAGTCAACAGTGGACTCAGGTAGGACCTGGATGACCTAAGCCAAAGTTGAGGCAGAGATGGGAAAGGAGGGATGTCTGGTTACCAACTTGGGGTTTGGGACAGAAAGCAAAATACAGCACTGAGCAGTCTGGAAGCATATTGAAAAAAACGGGAGGTAATCTCTCTAAAGAGCAACAGGTGCTGGGGGAGTGAGCAAAAAACTCAGACTCAGAGGGTAGAGAAAGAAAGAAAGACCTTTCAAGGAGAGGAGAAAGGAGACTATGGCACAGCTATAATTTAACAAGTATCTGCACCATGTTGTCTTTATTGGAAATGGATCTTTGCCTTTTAGTGGAGGCACAAACTTAAAGCTCAGTGATGCAGAGGTCCAAAACTGCATGAGGGATGGGGTGGTATGGAAGCACAGTCTGGGATTTATATGACCTCATTCAGGTGCACAAAGATGTCATTTGGCAAGTACCATCTATGGCTTTATGCCCTTCTTTGCCCTGCCTCTTTTGCACACTTACAGAGGTCCTAGACCCTAGGAATACTGATGTGCATCACATATCTAGAACTGCACAGAGCAAGCTGGCACTTTGCTCATGACACTGCTAAATCATTCTATTCTGCTCTACTAATTACCATACTGATACAGCATTTGTTCTCCTGTGAATTCACCCTCTAACTTGCTGAGATATTCTTATTTCCTTCCTTCCCTGTTCTTCAGATTAACACGCTCTTTTAAACTGGTTCTCCACTTGCAGATGGCTCCACGTTCATCCAACACAGGGAACTGCCCTATGCAAACACGGTGACCAAAAGGCTAAACTGAGGCCCCACTGATTTTCTATTTGTGTCCTGGGCCTGGAACCACCTAGTTAGTTTTGAAAGTACTTTAGGATGCACAGATGAGAAGCAGGGCAGAAGAAGAGGTATCTGTCCCACCATGGTAGCATTCCACCACCAAACACATGCACACACACTTGTCCTACAGCATGCTGAGGGGAATGAGGCAGATGCACCTCCTGTTAGCTGTAAGCAGGCCCCAAGGTCTCCAGCACCTGTCCAAAAAAAGGAGTAGAAAGTAGAATGCCAGGCTTACTTACTCTGAGATGCCAGTGACGAGACTTCTGTCCTGATAGTTTCTATCACAGCTTCACCTGCGGATCCCTTCTCACCCCGTGGACCTTTTACAGGAGAAGAGGAGAAAGCAAATTAGTTAACAGAGGCTGACACTTTGTATCCACTCCTCCTCCCCCTGACAGTGGGTTCAAACTTTGCTTGTGTGAACTGGGAGCCTGAATTCAGTCCCCGAATATGAGGGACACTGGACTCAAATGCGGAAATGACAATTTGCTCTAACAGGATCATAGAAAAATAGCTAAGAGCTCTTAGGAAAGTCAGCTCTGCCCAGGCCTTTCCAAACAGATGTCTACCTAATTGACAGTGATTTCAATGACATTATTATTTGCAATTTCGCTCTAGTTTGTTCTCGCACTTCTCAAAACAACAGGAAGCATCCAGCCAAGCTATATCCCCTACTACAGGAACGTAGCTGCAGCTGAGAAGTACAATAGAAATGCCAGCTTCCAGAAAAAAATAACAAGAGGAAAAAATAAACCAAACATTTTCAGCTTTCACATCACATTGGTTTTCTTACTATTCCTCCCTTCCTCTAGAAATGGAGAAAGAGAAAAAAAAAAAAAGGAAGAATGGAAATTCTTCAAAAGATTAATTAAGCCCAATAATGCAGGAAAATGAACTGAAAGGAAGAAATCCGCAAACAAAAGGGAGTGAGATTTTGCCAAGGGCTTAGAGACTAGAAACAAAAGAAAACTGGTGAATTCCATTTCCAAAAGGAGCAGAATCAGGGCTGACAGAGAACAGTACCTTGTTGTCCAGGGAGACCAGCTGGCCCAATAGGACCTGGTTTAAAAAAAAAAAAAAAAAGATTGTATGAGGTTTTCCTGGCTGTATCTTCTAGTAGCAGAAGAGAATCAATAGGTCTTTTATAAGAACAGAAAATATAATGAATTTGTTTGCTCAATTAATAGAATTGCTATGGGGATATGAATTCATCAGTGTCTCATCTTGTATGACTTGAAGCTCTGGTAAAGAGGCTGATTACCCATCCTCTGGCCATTGATGTGCTCAGTGCCCCTTGGACTGGGGAAATTACCAGAATAGCACTGACCACAAAAGAAATGCAGCAGATTGACCCCTCCTCTTGCACTGTCTGCTGCAAAGTCTTGATCTACCAAACCAGCTCCAGGATTAGCTCCAACTATACAGCTGGGAGAGGCACGCAATGCTATGAAAATCAAAGCCCAGTGGGATTTCTGTTGTCTTGAGATCAAAGGTAAGACTGGAAAACACATACTGACTTCAATTCTAATGCAAGGAAAGAAATCAGACGTAAGTTTGTTTTCCTGAGAAGCAATAAAGTTTGCATTGAGTTGCTGAATTTGACCTCTCTCTAGCTGGTACTCATCAGATCAAGAAAAAACAACAGGGTTGCCAGTTTTTTCATCTTTCAGCCCTCCCTTCGTCCTACTGCCTTGTAACTGTAACTCATTTCTCCCCTGGGGCCACTGCCTCCCTAACTCTGCCTGAGATATTGGGCTTTCTGCAGGGAAGGGTGAGAACCATGAATATCTAGACTGCTTGAGCAATCTTGCCTCCCACACAGGGTAGCACGAAAGAGACAACCAACATTACTTACTAAATTAAAAACTGGATACACAGCAATGCAAGGTGCCTGCAAGAAAAAAAACTCTGCAGAGGAGCAGCTTCCTTACCTGGAACACCAGGAGGTCCAGTGGGGCCCATGGGTCCTGGAGGACCTGGTGGGCCTGGCAGAGCAATAGTTGATGAACCCTCTGAAACACAAACACAGACACTTGTACACATACAAATACACATGCTGCAAACAAATCTGTTCTCAAGGAATGATTTGACAATCTGTTGCATACGTATTCTCCCAACACTGAGAGCTGCCAGTACAGGTCTGGCGCACAGTCAAGATTAATTTGGAGGGGATAATAAAAAAAACAGAAAATTGTCCACAAGTGGAAGAGTTTGAACTCTCACAGCGATACTTACCAGCACTTATGACTTTGCCTGGAGATCCAGGTTCTCCTAAGAAAAGAAAGTGATAAATATGAACTCAATTTCTGGGAAAGATCTATCACTAGCTCAATTATATTGCCTTATCTCTCTTATTAAACATGTGATTTCTATTCTCTTTGCCCTTGATCTCTCATCTAAGAAATCGTATTATTAGAAGGTCATGGAGGAAGCAAAAGAGCCTGCTTAATCTAGAGATCATTCAGATTCTCTCTGATCTTTCCAAGCACCATATCTGCCAGAATTGACAACAGGCCTAGAGTTATCAGAGGCAGGTGCACAACTTCCGTTGCAGTTACCAGACATCATACCCATACATCCAGGGTAGAATGGATTTTGCTAAGGTTTTCTCTTCCAGAGCTATGCTGAGTGCTTCAGCAGACATCCTGCATGTCATGTTTGGTCAGGGAGGTTCTGCTATTGCTTGTTCCACAAACCTTCCTTTCCTAAAGCCACTAGATGCCACTGTTGATTCAGAGACTGGTCAACAGAATAGATAATCCTCTTTAAAATTAAGAGCATAGAAAGAAAACAAATATTAAGGAAGAAACAAAACTCACCTTTAGCCCCTGGTCTGCCTGGGTTGCCTGGAAGTCCTAAAATTAGGAAGAAGAACAATTTAAAATAATTAGTAGAAACGTTGTTTGGTTGGTTTTATTCATATACAAAAGTGAGCTTCACTAATAGATTTATAGAAGGCATTTCCTACTGCAAAACCTGGCTTTCAGCATTTATAAGCAGGTTGTGCCTACTTCACAAGGTGGAGGAATTCATGGTGGACTGAGCCAAGAGTGTCCTTGGGCAGAAGTAGGGGCTTCCCATCTTTCACTGCTCCCTAGGTTTGCCTGTAACTTCTCACAGATACTGCTCCCTTTTCAGAGGCTCCTGGATAAATTCCCTGGTGATTTGGCCTTCTCCACACTATTCTGTCTGTGGAACATCACATCCTTTTTTCCATCTCTACTACAACCCTCCCTCTCCCCTCTGTTTCTGCTGCTAATTACAAAGACTTTTCAGTGATACACAAGAAACTAAACATGTGCTCCAAGGCTCTGCATTCCTCAGAACTTATGCAAAATCTATCTCAAAATCAAGGGAGATGCAGAAACATGGGATATTACTTTGGAAGCCCCGAGCTGTAGAGAGGGAAAATTAGAACTTTTTTGTTTTGAGTCCATACCAAAAGTGCATCACTGACAAAAAACTGGGACATGATGAGAAAACCTACCTGGTGGTCCCTGGGGTCCTGTGAGACCTAGGTGGGAAAAAAGGCAAAAAAAATCAAAGATTTTAAAACAATTTTTCAAACAAACTTTGGGCAGGAGGAAGAAAAGGCAAGATTACATTTGCTTAAAATCACAGCACACTAGTGCTGCAAGTCAGCTTAGCACCTGGTATATAAACTGAATGTTGGCTTCTAGCAGCTGAAACTCTTGTTTGCAGTGTGCACAATCCTGAGATCACAAATGGTCTGGGATTCCCTTTGTATTTTATTTTCATTGCTTTCTTACACTACAGAGGTCCTCTGCCAGCATTAACTTCAAAATAAGACCAGAAATCTTTGACAGAGGTGGATTCCTGACCAAGAAAACATTGTTTTTGTTCTCTGTGTGCTTTTACCTGGCTCTCCTGCATCTCCAGAAGGACCTGGAGGGCCTCGGGCTCCTGGCATTCCCATGAGACCTGGTTCACCTAGGAATATAATCATGTTAGTGAGCTGTAATTTGCTGATTTATAATCATCCAATTCATTCACCCTGCCACATTCTATCTATTGTATCCTCATGGCCAAGTGGATGGTTTCAGCATCATGTACTTGGAGATGAACAGAAAAGAGTCGTGGAGTGAGAATAATTCTATCAGATTTACAGCCAGCTCCATTATATGTTATATTTCCATGCTTACAAGGTTGACTTCATACAGTTTTTCCGAGATGTCGAGACATATCCCACAGCATAAATCTACTGCCATCTTCTTCCACTCCTTTTACAAACTAGCCACCAGCCACATCAGAAGTATTTGCTCTTCTACCGCAGAGGAATCTCTTACCTTTTTCACCTGGCTGTCCATCACGGCCAGCTTGTCCTGTACAAAGAAAACAGATTGTTAGGGACTGGTGTAATAGTACCACAGTTGCCTGTCCTCCTACTATGCAGAGTACAGCCTTAAACACAATAAATCTCCTTGCATTTGAATGAAACCTTAGCTGTAGTTACTGAAGATCCTGAAAAAGTTCACTTGAAAGTGTAAGGACAACTTTTTGAGCACACCAATGAATTTTAGCTATTTAGAGAGAAGATTGGTGATCACTATCAAGGATTCCACTCCCAAGCTCTTCCCTCGTTTGGACTCATAAAAACAGATGCTTAGTAGAAATTACAGTGGCCAAAAACCCAACTGTTTTCTGTTACGCACCTGCAGGTCCTTTAGCTCCTGGCTCTCCTGGAGGACCAGGTATGCCTCTTGAGCCTTGTTCACCTGTAATTAGATGACATAAAAATGAATCAAATCTTGGTGAAGATATAATCTATGACTGTCAGTAATACTTGGTGTTTTGCAATTGAAAAAAGCACTGATAGGATGTTCAAAGTTTATGACTCATGACTTTCTCTGGGCATTAGAAATGCTCAAGGGAAGTGAATGCACAGCACATGAGGGATTTCCACCCACCAAAAATAAGATTGCTATCAAGGATACGATCTATTTGATGAGAACTTGGGTACAAAAATAAAACTCCTATAACCAGTAACATCTTTATAATTTTTCAGAAAGCTAACTAGCATTTTCTGGACTATATATATATTTTTTAAAATTAAAACAAAGCACACATGTATTTTACAAGCTGATACTTCAAGAATACAATCTACTGACCTGTCATTCCACGAGCTCCTTTCTCACCCTGATCACCTGCAGTACAAAAAGGAAGAATTCTGTGAGATTGCTTCATTGTGAAATGTTTCCATCAGAGAACAAGTCTGCTCTCTGACCAGAGCACAAAATAAGTCGACAAAGAAGAATACAGCTAACTTCTATGAACAATATCCATATCTGAAGGAACCTAAGTAAGAGTCAAAAGATTTAATTGATTGATATACCTTTGGGTCCTGGGGATCCAGTAGCTCCTTTCTCACCTGCAAGATACATGGATAGGTAGCAACAAGTCAGAAGGGAAAGGAATTTCAAGTACCAAGGAAATTCACAGGGAAATACAGGAACTCCGTATCCGAGAAACTCAAACTGCAACTTCCTTTCCTTCATTATAGCTCCATCCATCATTACAGCACCCAGACCTCATTCAATTCTCATTCAGATTTTTCTATTACCTGTCTCTTCTGTTTCTCAATATTTGCTTGTAATCATGAAGTCTGATACTCTTCCCCTTTCCCTCCCCTTACATTTTTCTCTTCCTCTTACATCTCAGTGTTCCATGCTCATGTCAAGTCTGTTGCTCAGAGTACCGGAGAAGAACATCAGCTAGTACCACTGTCACAGCACAGAGGAAGGGAAGTTTACCTTTAGCACCTGGGAGACCTGCTTCTCCTCTAAATCCTTGAAGGCCAGGAGGACCTGAAGAAAAATGAGGTGAGGGAGTTAATTCATCCCACTCAACACTATGGAACACAAACTGTGAGAAGCTATTGCTCCTTTTCACTCTACTCTGCAAGATGCCATAGCAAATAAAGGCAGCACTCACCTGGAGGTCCTTGAGGGCCTGGAGAACCCATTGGACCTATGAATAAGGAACATGAATTTTCTTTCAGTAACACCACAATCAGAAAATGAACAAACCTCTTCAGGTTTGCTCAACAGCATTCACAATCAAGTAGGTGTTTAGAAGATCAGAATGTCCCTAGACCCTAGAATTGGCATTCTGGCCTCTTGAAAATCAGGATATTGAATCTATAAGCTTAATTCTTATAACACATACGAAGTGTTTTTCCTTAAAGTAAGGAAAAGAGATTAAAACCTTCTATCTTTGCTGGGATGTTGGGGTCTATGCTTCAGGTACGATTAATTCTTTTGATCCCAGTGACATGGACTGTAAAGCTGTAATGTCATTAACAGCCCATTAGGGATATGGAATTTATTATTTCTAAAAACAGAATAAAACCTGCTGGAAACATAACACATCTTAGAGATGGATGTTTCGGGAAACCTCTCTGCTGACCCCCCACCCTCCCTAAAAATCTCCAGGAGTTTACTGCTCTAAACATTGTGTGCATTTACAAAAGTAAATTTTAGTTAAAATGAGGACTATTGAGCCACTTTTCTGATTACTGCAGTGCAACACAAATGAAGTAAGAATTTTAGAGTGTCCATTTTTTCCTCACAGAACACCTGGTCAATCTGTTAGGCTCTCTCTGTCTATCTTGATATTTACCTTTAAGGCCAGCAGACCCTGGGGGACCAGGTGGCCCAGGAGGACCTGCAGCACCTGCAGAATAAGAACATAAATAGATCCCATAGAACACAACTGTGATATCACTTTTCCATCCCCCTATCTTCCACTATTCTCTGTTCTGGTAAGAGTCACGAATAATCTTCAGGATAATCTGCTGGTCAGTCAAAAACACACCGTATGTAAACATGCACTGTACAAGAAAAAAATTCCATCTCACTGGACTTCAGGATGAGCAAGATACATTTCCAAGCTTTGGGAAGATGATGACTTTGATACTAAGTGGTTCTCAGACTTGACTGTGAAATGCAATAAAACAAAGAAGAGCCTTATTTGTCTTTTGCAAGCTTGACACAAAAACCCTTTAGGATAGATTTGTCCATTCTGGGAAACATCTAAAAATGAACATTAGATTTGAATAATCAAAATCAAATTCATGAAGTAACTGAAAACTCAAGACTCAACTCCACCTTTTGTCTATCTCTGTTTTATCAAAAAAATTGGAAACCTAGTTCCTACCTCTATCTCCTTTTTCTCCAAATCCAGGTGGTCCAGGCTCTCCTCGAGGCCCTGGTAGCCCTTCTCGACCTCTTTGTCCCATGGGACCTTCCATGCCAGGATCACCTATAGAAAACAAAAGCCTTGTTAGAATAGTTGTCTTTACAGTTGGCAGTGGGCAAGCAAGATCCATGCTTACTTCCATGGTGAAAGGCAATGATCACAGCAAGCTGATGTCTGTAATTCCCAAGTCAACTATAAATCTGCTGTGAGAGACTCAGTATTGATAGATATGCTTACCCATGCTGCCCTTCTGTCCTTTTGGTCCTTCTGGTCCTTGGTGCCCCGCTGGACCAGGAATGCCTGGAAAGAAAAACACAAAAAAATGTTCACAATCTTTATCTGTGTATTGTGAATTAATAACCTGCAAATCAGTGTAACAACCTGAACCCCTAAGGGACTCAGCAGCTAGTGAAGGATATACTACTTGCAATGTGGGCACTCGAACAGGGATCTCTTTAGAAGAACACAATACATATTAGAGCACAAGAACACTGTGCCAAGTATTCACATAGATGTGGAACTCTTTCAAAGGTAGCCTGGGATCTTCACACTCACAAATTAGACATGTTCAACCATACGGAAGTCAGGCTGAGGCTTTGCTTATAACCAAATATCTGTAGTTCAGCATCAACGTATTAATCAAGGGACTAAATATACTAAGTACTGACTCTTCAGAAAATCATGCTGAGCTAGATTTCTAGTGCAAAACTTGTTATTGTCAATGGTAATGTCACTAAGAGCTCATCCCTCAAAGGGGACTTGTACTATTGCTCACCTGGGACACCGGGAAGCCCTCGATCCCCTACAGGAAGAAAGAAATAGAAAGCCAGTTAGGAAAAGGTTTTCACTGTTTCTCACATTGATTAATCCTCACCCCCACGTAAAAAGGAATTTATGTTCTTGTTGTGTTTAGAGGTTCTGCCTTCCCAGCAATGCCAGACTTCATCTTTCATATTTATGCAATAGATTAAATTATTCACATTGCATGAAATCCTCTCAAGCACTCTGTGATTAAGCCAGGTATGGTTTCATTTCAGGGATGACTGTCAACCAGGTAAAGGAAGTTCCAAGATTCAAAGTGACAATTGATCTCTCTCCTGCTGTGACCTCTAAAACTGCCTTTGCCAGGAAAAATGAAGATAATCACAAGAATATCTGAAACATCAGATGCATCAGTTTCCCTGTCTAACTTCAGAAGTAACAAACATTCATATAGGCTATACACATATTCCAGGCCCTACGGCAGGCTGCCACAGAACCTGAGACAGCAAGAAACTCCAGACTCACCTTTGGGACCTTGCAATCCCATGTCACCTGAGAAAAAGGGAAAATAAAATAAAATCAGGAGAAATCCTGGAATTATTTCTCATTCTGTTGTTGTTTTTCTAGTTGTTCTCTAGCCTTCAATAAAACACGAACAAGTTTTGGATGAACAAGGGCACTTCACAACGGCACAATGCAGGACCAGGCCCATCACGGTAGTGACATATAGGATCCAGCCTTTCAACATTCTATAATGCATTGTGGGATTGGATTTTCTCTATTAATTCTCCATGAAACAGGTCCCCCCACAGTTTAAATGGCAAACCAGCTTCATGTTCTGTAAGTATAAACTAGCATCAATTTTCTCACTGCCAACTTTCCCTAGCCCTAGTGGCAACATCCATTCCAAACTTGAACATTGCCATAACCAAGGAATAGGACAAAGGAAGAGAAAGACTGTAAGGCTGTACCTTTCATACCAGGTTCTCCTCTCTCCCCTCGGAAGTAGCCTGCAACAGGAAGCGAAGGTGTTGTTAGACTGCATTACACAAGAAAATAGCTAATTGCTTTGCATACAAAGATCCCTCTAACTGGATTTTGAGGCTGCAGACAGCACAGGCTGGAAAACACAATGGGAGTTTCCTTGAGAAGTTTGCTCTTTGCCAGCCCTTGAACTGCTTGGAGTTACATAAAACTTCTGAAGCTGGAAAAGCGTAGACTCCTCACTTCTTAGCCTGCTTCTATCAAAACAAAAGTAAATAATATTTCCCTTACAACTAAAAGTAGCACAATAAGATTTGGATTCAATTTTATGTGCAGTTCTTTCAAAATGGAAAACTCACTTGCTTCAGCAAACAACACATTCTGGTGCAGGATGGCATGCCCACAGTTTCCTTTTTCCTCATCCTGCTAGCTTTGATGGATGCAGCACTAGTGTCACTGGCAGCATCCTGTGTCCCAGCAAAACTGTGAGGACAGGTGAGGGCTCTGCTTTTGAGAGATTGCATTGCACTCCAGAGGTCATTGTCTTTAGGCCCTCAGAAAATAAAACCCCTTTGTTTCCCTTTCAATAATCTGGTCTACAGCATCACAGGTATTTACTCTGCTCACCTCGTTCTATTTCCTTATTCAGTCTGCTCTTCACCATCAACCAAACTGATTCTTCATTTTCAAAAGGGAAGGTTGAAGACGGTGCCGCACCATGAAGAAAATCCACTTTAGAAACGTCTTTTTCTAAATACGGATTCCCTTGGTTAACTGTCAGGAAGCTGTGATTTATTTTTTCCAGGTTGTCCACACGAGATCTCAGCTTTCTCACTTCTTCCGCTGGAAGGTTAAAGTAAAACAGTGAAAATGTTGATGCAGGCATGTGACTGGAATACTAATTTCTAACAGCGGTGACAAGGCATCGCTGTGACAGCTATGGACAATGAATTTAGCAGGATTATTTTTGCAGCTCTTATTTTAGCAGGGAAATCTGGAGTTTCAGTGACAGCTTTGGAATATGTTAGTCTCCGAAGAGAAGACATCTCAGGAGTTTCCCTACCCTCCTCTCCCCAGAACTATATAATCTCTTATAGAAGGTTTATATTCCTTATTCATTCTTTCTGTCCATTTGTAATATTTTGGTGGTGGTCACAATTCTGAGTACTGAATGTGCTCCTCTGGTAGCGAGTTACAATTCACTTGGCTTCTTTCTGCCCCATAGAAAGTTTTGTTCCTCCATGTAAAACTCGATCCTGCCAGCAGAAGGAAGACCCTATGTCTGTATCTTACCCTTCTCTCACCTTAGCAGCAATCGTTCTCATAGACAGGGATACATAGAGGTGGGATTCTGTTCAGTCTCAAATTTAAATACACAGACGCCAGTGATCCAGGCCAGTTTTAGTAGTCATTTCTTACCCAGAGCAATGAGTCCAAAGAGCAATCCAAGGAGAAGCAACCATGCCAGAAGCAAACCCAGAAGCCATTTCCACCAGCTACAGCAGGAACCACAGGGACACCAGGAAGGTGCTGATCCAATTGCACCGCCTGCATCACCATTTCGTATTTCTGGAAGAGGCAATTAAATGGTAAATAGCTCCTTAATTTCAGAGTCAAGAATATCTTGAGAATAAGGACTACAAGGTCAGATCCATCATACAAATGGAGAAAAAGCTTTACATTTCACTCTGTGAACACTGAGTGTTACTCTAATCCCTGTGGAAGCTGTAGACAGCTTCCCAATGGGAATCCCAACAGGGTACAACAGTCAGCACTTTTTAAAATAACTGCTGCACAAACACAACTGCTCTGGGGTCATTCTGTTGTACAGTTCTAAGCTGTAAGTAACAGCAAAAGCCAGAATGGTTTGATCCTTCTCCTCCCCACAAATCTATCCTGATAGTAGGATGCACTCTGCTGTCAGCTAGCTGATTTCCTCCAGCAGCTAAGAAGTGCCACAACTACCCAATCATCCACAATAAAATCACAGGTAACACTTTCTGTGGCATGTGCTTTGCTCATTACAGATGGAGTAGCCTTTTAAACATGACCTTCCTTTGACGTTGTCATGCAGAGATCATTCAACACGCTCGATAACAGCTTTTTGTACGCTGTGCTTTGATGCTCCCTCCAGTGACAGTATGAATAGCACCACTTACCTGCATATGTTGCTTTGTCCCTTGTTGGCGCTGATTTCAATCCTCCTGTAATAATAAAAGAAGATTTAACAGTCTTTCCATACAACACCGAACTTGGAGCATGGGTTTGTAGATAGAAGGTGTCAACGGAGGCAGAAAGAGGTAGTTCTCATGTATTGCCACAAGCAAAGACCCGTACCATTTGTATCTGATTTCAGGCCAGTATCTGCCACGTAAGAAGAAAGCCCCTGCTTTTCCTTCTTCAAGGTGTCTTCTGCAAAGGATCCTGAATTGGAATGAAATGTAACTGAAAACATTACAATTGGAGTACAACCAGGCCAACTCTTTTCTCAGAGTCTAAAAGCATGGTAGCGTGGTTCTTATTAGGTAGCAAGAACAGCTCTCTGTCAGTTTAAGCCAGCTGCTGATCTATCAGTTGCTTTTGAAGTTCTTGAACTCCCAAGCTTTAAGAAATGTCCCAAGGCACACCCTGGAGCTTCAAAGGCAAAATATGTTAGACATAGATGCTGCTGATGTGGTTAAAGGCAAAATGCCTGCCATAGATTCATGGGTGGCATACAGGCATAGTGTCCTGAACTCTCAACTCCACAGACAGAGAAGACCCCTACACTAGCACAGTTCATCCGGCTGCATCAAAGTTTGTCTCCAAAATGTCCCTTGCAGAGATGTGATTCATATTCCCCCTCTCCATTTTTCTGCTCTCAGCAGACCTGTATGTGTGTCACACATCCCAAGGAAGAGAAATTACCTCCATTAAGCCCAGTGGAAGATGCACTAAAGACTTTGCCACTATCCTTGGTCATGACTAAGAGCTCCATCTCCTTCTTTGCTGGGGCATTCTCTTTCTCCAGCAGCAGGAACTTGCAGTCTTTGCGCAGAAAGTCGTCTCCCTGGGAGCTCAAAACAGTTCCACCTGAAATATTGGTGAAATATTGGAAATACTGGAACAGAGGAGGAGATGGGTGCATATAAACATGTAACTACAAGCCACAACACTTTTGTTCATCAAAACAGGGAGTCCCATTATGACTGGGTTTGCCACTTCTATAAGGAGCCAGCAAGATACACATCAGTCACTTGAAGATAAGAAGAGCTGTGTGTCTCATTAAACTTTAGAGACGTGTATTTCAATAGCATGGGAACAACTTCTACAGGATATGAAGAGCATTCAACGTTCGTAATGAAAGAACTCGCTCAGTGACCTCCTCTCTTTTGAAACACATCTATTAGAGAATCATAGAAATTCAGTCTTGAGAGATATCCAAAGGTCACAAGAGCCATCACATCTCAAGCTAAAGAGTGCCTTAAAAGAGACACTGTGAAGCACAAAGCACTTCATATACTTGAGAGCCAGGCACGGTTATGAAGCTTTGAACTGCAGCTTGCAGAAGTTGAGCTCAATATAAATAAAGCTAAAAATATTAATGTGGCCACGTTTCTGCCATTACGCAGAAAAGATGAATCCCAGCCATTCAGAGACCACAGGCCAGTAGAAAGACCTCAGTTTATCTCATAAAATAGAACAATCAAACAACAAAAAGCCAACAATCTGATCATGCATAAGTCAGTTACTTAATTTTCAAGTGGTTAAGGCTGATGTACCTGAAAAATAACATTTAGGTGTAACCTTGGAAATATTTTGGTTTCAAATGAAACACAGTATCACATGTCATCTTCTATCCAGTTACTTATCTGTTGAACGGAAATAGCTACAATAAAATTCTCCAAGTTACCATAAAGTGGGAGAGATCTGAATCAGGCCAGCTGATTTCTCATCCTGGCTCATTTACCTTCTTTTCTGAAAGGCTCTAGTAAGGGAGCTTGATATCGACAAGTCATGCTCCTGAAGAGCCACATGTTAGTACCACTCAGATGGATGAATCTCTAATTCACTTTTATCATGAAATGCTTGTACAAAGCTATGTCTAAGCAACTGTGAATGATACACTCACCTGCTGAGGCAGACACACCAGTACTATTCATGGTGTTTGTCTGAGAAGTGTTCTTCATCCCATATGCTGCAATGAAGAAGTTCCAGAATGAAAAAGATGAAGGATAGCAAAGTACCTATGCATACCAGTCTTGGGCTATACACCATTCATGAATCTTTTCTCAAACAGGACACTTAGTAAAATTCAAATGAGCAAGGGCTTTCCCAGCAAGCAAGTTTATAGTGCTTACACAGGCACTGGAAGCCACTCCTGTTATGTGCAAAACAGAAGAAATGTTCCTCAAAATCTCCTCACACCACATTGCTCCACACCAGAAGATGGCAATAAAGGAACCTCTGTCAATACGAACATTATAGTCACCACAGAAAAGGTGGGAGAATGTAGTACACATCAGGGACTCCCTTATTTGCTTATGCTTAAAAGGTTTCTGACCTGCAGAGGCTGCAGTGGCATTCAGGGCTGAAGAGCTTGGTGACAGATTGTTTTGAACTCCGAACACTGCAAAGAAAAAAATCAATGCAATGGGAGTTAGAGAAGTCCTGCAGTGCAAGTGGTGTTCTGACTGAAAACAAAATAAAACCAGTGATAATAATGATGACCTCAGAGAATCCTGTTGGTTAGAAATCACCCTTAGGGTTTCTAAGGAATTTTGTCAGCTAGTAGATGCATCACAATTCTAAGCATTCCTGTTCAAAACCTTACAAAGCATTTTTCCTTAGATCACCTTGCTATATAAGTTATTATTGGCCCAGGACTATTAACAGTGACAATTTTAAAACATCAACTCAGGTTAGATTGGAAACCCACTTTCATGGCTGCATGGACGTTTCTGGAAGTATGGGACTTGGGAAAACAAGTACATTTGGGAAACCAGTTTGATGTGACTGGAGGAAGTTTAACGAGACAACTGCACACACTGCGCGTCAAAGTATCATCCAGAGAGAAGTAAACACTTGAAGGTGGTACCTTCAGTGTCAGAATCACTGTGGCAATATCTGATGTAGTTTACAGACTGCTTTCATACACCCTGGTCTCTAGAGGCTCAATCAGAGAACCTGCATGATGGCACAACACTGAGTAGGAAAAATGTGTGACTGTGTAAGGAAGAGAGGTGCTCTTGTGGTATGGAACAGCATCAACCAAAAGTCATTAGTGAAACAAAGGGTAATTATAGGGAAAACTGACAGCAGTAGACCTTTATGGATTAGGACACATGAGTTTAACTCTCAGAGGGTTATCCTGAGTTGTCCTGGGAAGAAACAGGCTGCTTCAATAGACAAATTACTAATCTTGGAAAATACCCGATTTTCCTCGCTACCTAAATAAAAGTAGTTAGGACCTAATGTCAGCTACACAAGCTATACAGCATACACCCAGAATAAATCCTCTGTAACCAGAGAATAACTGTGGTGTAAAGACAAGCTGTTGACATTCAGAGGAAAGAGGAGAAACAGAGTAATATGGGCAATATTTCAATGCATGTGTCTGGCAGGACTGTGAAGTGAAGAAGAGAAAAATCTGACCTGTTGAGGATGTGCTCAGGCCTGTGTTCAGAGTATGACTGCTGGGAGCCAGGTTATTTGGAACACCAAAAACTGTAAAAAGAGGAAGTGAAATGTTATCACTTCTACAACCCACAGAAATTAGTCAGCAAGATTGTAAAATAATTATAAATATATATATTAATATATATAATAAATATAAATATTAATTGCACAGAGGAAAAATACTGAAAACTGTGACCTGAAGCCACTCTCTTTACTGAACTCACAAAGTTGAGAAGAACCTATATCAGAAAATTGCAATCATGAGATAATATGAGAAAGCAAAGCTTTTGCTAGTATGGCATTATTAACTTTCTTGTGCTTTTTTTTTTTAATACTCTAACAGCATTCCTGGCATTTGGAAGTTGGTTTTGCAAGTTATAATCATTGCCAACACTGATTGATTAGATCTTTAACGTTAGAGGATGGCATGGTTAGGACTAGTTTTTCTTTCAATTAACCAAGACAATTCAAAATTCACTAGTCTAAAACTAGTCTTGACAGACAGTCTGGTCTCATTTAAGTAAATAATAAAGTTACAACAATTGAAACAAATCAGGCAGCCAGGACAGCCTATCCTCACAACAAAGGACTCCTAAGTACAAACATCTTAGAAGCAAAATCAAAGAATTACAGAAAAGCAGAGAAAACCCAAGCATATCTTCTGCCACTTCAGTTCTTCCCTCATTTTAATTCTTCTAACTGTGCAGATAAGAGCACTGCTATTGACCCAATTTCAGTGTGGAGTTTTGTGCTTACAGACTTGGCAGTCCAGGGAACATACCTGATCCTGTAGAGTGAGACATAGCATTGACCAAAGAAGAGCTCTGGCCCATGCTGTTGTGGTATCCTCCAAGGGAAGATCCAGCAGGCAGAGTTGAGGACCATGTGTATGGTGGGAGGGCTGTATTTAGTATAGTTGTATCATATGTCCCTGACACTGTAAAAAAATAAAACAAAATAAACAATAAACAAACAGTAGGGACTAGGCTTATGACTTAGTATACAGGTAAACTATAGGTTTACATGGCAGAGAACTTAATTTGCCTTCAATTTCAATTACTTTTGTTGAGTCCATGCAACAACTCCAGGTTAATGTAGTATAACCAATCTCAAATGCCAGCTGATTACAGCCCACTTGAATTAAAAAGAATGGAATAAAGACTGACATGATAGCCTGACTATTCACAAAATACTTTGAGAAGACTTCACTGTTTACGGATGCTATGATACTACAATAAAACATTTAATGTGCTTCGGTCCATAATTCTGTTAACCCTGGACCAGGACACCTAGAAATTTTGCTTCCCACACATGTGGCTCTGGTTCAAAATCCCCAGTTTTAGACAAAATTTTAGCCATCAGAAGGTAAAAAGGCATTGCTCGTTCCTAGATTCTGGTGGAGAATAGCAGAGTGAATACGAACATCGCTGCCTCAAGCGCCACAGGGAGGCTTATAATTAATGAAAGCCAGTTACAGTATTCTAAATAGTATTTATAATACCATCAAGTTTTACTGATCTCTGAACCTGCCGTATGGCCAATAAATTGAACACTGATCCAAATTTTGTCTTCACTGCTATCTTCATTTTGCTCAGCAATAAGAAATCATACTGCTCTAAGACATTTATGCAGAGCTCTTGTCTCTGCCAGCAGCGCTTCTGAATTAAACCTGGCGTCAGCAGGATGTCTTAATTTTATAGAAGTACACAGTTCACCACCCAAAGATGGCCCTGGACAATCCTCCGACACTTTACTCCTTTTTCTGTATCTGGGACAGAGACCATGCATTCTTACTCTGGTGTTCTTAACAGCTGAGAATTTTTACGGTAAAACGAATTTTAATGGATAGTTAGCAATGCTGGAGTCTTCCAGACCTCTGCCACGTACCTGACTGAGAGCTCTCAGTAACCATTTTTGTCTCCACCACAGCTTTTTTTGGTATTGGGAGGGTACTTGACGATGACCGAGTCGGGCTGCAGCTGGCTGATCGACTTCCTTTCAGTAAACGTTTGACATCATCCAACTCCGTCCCTGGCATGAAAAACAAGCACCCAGATTTATCCAAAAGCCCTTGTTTCACTGAACTGTAATCCTGCCCTGGGGATAAACCATTCAGTGGAATTTACTCAGGAACATCTCAGAAGCTGTATTTTTCAGGAGTGCCATTGACATAACAAAACTTCACAAGCTGCATTTCAGGAATTGAGCACAACTCTATCCTTGCAACCACCTAACCCACAGCATGCTTCTTTGTTCGATACAGGGAGATAAATGGAAGTTCTTACAGTGGGAATAAAGAATGACATGCTGCTATCTGTCATCATGAAGACTGGATTCACAAGACACCGTAGACATATCTAGAGCACCAACACACTCTACATTATACCTGATTCCCCCAGAGTATAAGCTGTGGCACTTACATCTGCCAGAGGGAGATGCGCTCTGCAGCCGGACTCGTATTTCACTCTCTGTGAAGAGAAAAAAGCAGATCATGAATATGGAGTGCAACATATTTATGCCCTGAGCTGAGAATGAATCTTTATGCTGAAGTGAATTCCTCCCTTCCTGCTGTCTGTGTTGCCTTGCTGCTCGATCTAAGCAGCGCTCATGGCATATACTAATTTCTTGCAAATTGGCCTGGGTGATTTTTGTTCTAGATTTTAATGTTTTTCATCCAGAGAGCTGCATTTTATTCCTTGCATGCTTCTGTTGAAGTCAATAGCACTGTCAGTGCCAATCAAATGAAAGACCTAATTCCTCAGTCCTCAATCAAGTCCTAAATAATCAGTCCTCATTCCCACTCATCACAATTACTATTACTGGTCTATTGGATAAAAACCTAAAAAGTCAAAAGAAACTTCAAGATTTCAAGGCTAACAAAAGTTCCCTAACACTTATTGGGTAAAATTCATACCACATCTCTATAACGGGCTGCAGGATTTAGGCTCTTGCAACCTGCTGCCTTCTGTTTCGGCTCCTTGAACGTAACCCCCTACTTTACCAGTTACACTGAAATAAAACTGTCAGGTCGCACTCAGACATTTATTAATCCAACAATCTTTCCAGGTACTCCAGTTTATTACTTACTGGCTTTTACTGTTCAGCACAAGAGACTACAGAGTTAATCCGATTTGTTGGGAAAAGCCTTTAAGCTTACTACCTATGAGCAAGGACATGTGACTCATGCTCCTTGAGATGAAATCTGACAGTTCATACACTCTAAAGGAAACACTGGCTTCGGCATTCAGGTAGAGAAGCTGATTGATAGATTGAGACAATTTCCTGAAGTAACATGAGAAGCTGAAGCTGATTCTCTGGTATCTGTTTTATTACATAAGGCTAGCTCTGCTGGGAGGTATGTACTGTGCCAGAGGAGACTGTGAAGACCTGAGGTAGAATAATTGGTAACTGTGACATTCTCCAGGAGGAGAGTGCAAGAGCTGACTTTGATTTATATCCACTGCCAAAATTAACTTGGATAAAATGACATAGTTTTCTCCTCAAGCAACGGGAAACAGATATTAAACTCTTAGTAATGTAATCCTGCTTTCCCCAATGCTGTTAATAAATTACTAGAAGAGCTAAATGGTTTAAACAACACAGTTTCACAGTGAGCTCATAAGCAGACTGCAGCAAGTCCATAATTTCTTCAGCCTCTCGTTACCACCAGCATAAGATCATTTCAGGGAACGTCCGTATGGTTTCTAATATAAATCTTGGGGAAAAATGTGCATGTGATTGTTGTAAAAACACCAGAGCGGGGGTCACAGAGAATGGCTGGACTGAGTTTGTGGTAGCAAACAGTTAAGATGGAAAACTACTTTCTACACCCCCAGAGTTCCAGGTCCCCAAACAGATCCTCCTTTCTGGCACAGTACTACCATTACGACTTTCACTGGAGTCCTTGCACTGAGCTTGTTTAATCAACTGTTCACACCTGCAGTGGTGTAAATCCAGGCACCTCATCAGAGTCTAGACTCAAAGCACTTTGATTCCAGATAAGGAGTAGGTCCGTCTGACACACCTTGAGTCACATTGGGAAAAAACAAAGACAACTTCTAAAAGAAGAAAAACCACTTACCTCGACTTTGGCTTCGCCCTCGTGTGGAGGCAGATGCTGTGAATATAAGAGGAATAAAAGCAATATTAGGTTTTACTGCCTTTGACACATGGATATTTGGATCTTCGAATCTTCCTCTGAATGCAGAAACTCAGGCAGCAAACTTCTTTACTAGAGGCACAGCTGGGGGGCATTGAAATCCCAGTTTTTGCCAGGACTTCTTTAGACCATGAGGTATCTCAAAGAGTGTGTAGCACCTTAGTATTTCTGGACCAACTGCTGTTTCTGTTTGCACACATAAATGTTATTCAGAGATAATGATCTTTTATTTCAGTAATCCAGTATGAAGATAATAGGCCTGTTTATACCATCAACCAAGGTCAGACACTATGAAACCCTGCCTATTCCCTAAGCCAGAAAGACAGCGACATCATATTGTTCTCCACCTGCACTGGATATAAGAAGCATCCCAGAGTATGGACAGAGCAAAAACTCCTACCTGCTGACAATATACAGTATAAATACAACACTTGATAGCCAGTTCATCTTTTCATTTACACCATATGAACATGTTGAAGTCTAGAAAAGAATAAGTGGTTGAGTATATCCAGCAATGGTTCAAAATCTTAAGGGACTGCACTTTCTTGCTGGGGTCTATTCCCCCAAGTATGAGACAGCAGATGTTGTCAAGTGTCTTATGCTCTCCTGCTCATGCTCTGTACCATTTTGAGATCATTTAAAGAGTAGCTGAAGGTAGTAGATGTATTATATTATGTGGCCCGTTGGAATCTGTACTAGCTTGAGACTCTGCTGTCAGCTGCATTAACAGTAACTTCTCTGAAGTCACAGAGTTGCACTGGCTGTCCAACATAGAGGTAACATGTAGAAAGCCTCTGTAGTCACCAATTCACATGACCTTGCCATAAAGTTCAGAGAGACAGTTCTGTAAGAACATACCAAACTCTTTTCTGGGGAACTCTGGAGAAGAGTTAGCACTGGAGCTCCCTGCAAGTAATAGAAATGGGTCATTAATACTTTATAGAAGATCATCAAGAGTTTCCAAGTATGCTTCTGGTACCTGTTTAATTCCACTGAGTAACAAACATTTCCATTCAAAAAGAGCTATTCAGGATTACATGAATTAGTTGCAAATGTCAACAAATAAACTCCTCTTAGAAATGAGTGTTAATAAAAATAAGACTCAATCATTAAAATGCCTCCCTGCTGGCTTATTGCCCAGCAAAACCACTACAGATGGGATTCTTGTGCTATTTAAGACAATTCTGAATTAATGTGCTGGAAGTCCCAAGCGACGTCGGGCTGCACAACATTGTGCCTCTTTTCTATGGCATATTCTGCAATACCTTCATATGTTGCATGGCGGTTGACATGGGTTTTTCTTTCAAATGTTGAGCCAGGTGATTTGGTGAGAGTTGAGCTAGGAGACTGTGTTTGCCTGTAGCCAGACGACGATGAGTTCAATCTACCACTTCCACCTATCGGCAAAACAAAACACCCTCAGCAAATTGAAGATATGACCTGGATGTACACCCTGTATATCCCAAGTACTTCATGTTTGTGTCTTCTGAGCTGGACAGATCTGCATTAGTATCTCAGAACTAGAGATGGGAAAAAAAATAAAAGACAACCACATTTGGATGTAACGCTGACTGTCCTCAGCATTCCCTGCAAAGAGGAATTTATCTTTGTGGTTTAAAAATGACTTGTCAGTAATTTCAATAACAGCGGGTTTTGGCTATTATTAAATGGATAAATGAGACATTTGTGCTGAGCAGGAAGACACCTGGCTTTAAATTGGCCTGGATTTTGACATTTGGATACAGATCCACCCGTAAACTCCAGTGTTATATGACAGTTTAAACAAGATGTAGTACTGCAGGATGTCATTCACGAGGCAAAGGAAAGAGATGAGCAAGCTTCCTTCCAAAGCAACTAGCCACAGTCTCACTTAGTCATGCCTTAGTCAATCAATTTCCAGGAGATGTGATTGAGCCATGAGTCAAGCTCAAGGTTGTTTGGAGATTATTAGTAGCTGTTCTGTTTAGACAGGGGAAAGTTTCCTTTCCTAGCTGATATCACTGCTGTGTGAAAAGAACTGGGCAGCCATAAAGAATGCGTGGTTTGTGGAAGGATGAGACTCTTGATTGGACTCTTCTATGAAATCTAACATGGGAGTATGATCAGAGTGGCAGTACAAGGGTAGCTCTGTGATGAGGGCAATATATGCACGCTGATCAGTGGGATCGGACCGATCAGACTGGTTATTGTTTAACTATCACTGTAAAAAGAGAACACCCTTGTGTTCTCAAAGTGTTTTCTAACTCATTTTCTCTTCTAGAGGGATCTATTTTGATTTGCAACTTGTCCACTTAATTGAGCAAAAAAACTGTGGTGACAAGCGGACCTCTGTTGGAGACATTCTGCCAGCAGAATGGGAAAAACAGCCAAGTGCTCTGCAAAACTTAAAGAAGTTCAGATTCTTTTCTCTTCCTCCACGCACTGAAAATAACTAACAAGGAGGATGCAATCCCAGAGTCATTTAAGTTAGAGCTCTGAGGGATAGGCACAGTTCTCAGTTAAACTGGTGCCAGTCTAGACAATTAGGTTGATATCTGCACCAGAGTTACATCATATTTGTCCAGAGGGGAAGTGACTCCACACTCTGGCCTCTAATTGAAGGAGATGAGCATATGTCAGGTCTAGAGGGTAGGCCTACTTCTTCCTTTGAGCTTCCATTCTGCACTTTCCTCTCTTTGACTTGCCAGCTCTTCTGGAGAACGGAGAATGTTCCCTGTAAGAATTGTTATCCAGTCTGTCCCGCTGTGAGAGAGGTGCACCAGAAAGCTGGGTAGAAAGTTTATTCTTCAAAAACCTTCACTATGACAATCTAACAGCTCAGCAGAGAATGTTGCTAGAGAGGAATTGTCTTTGTGGAATAGATAGGAAGTACTGATTCAGCACATCCAGAAAACACGTAGACCATTCAAAGTGCTAAAGTCACGGATACCCTGACAAGAAGATAGATTCTATGAAATTGTTTTATTCTACTCTACTATCATATTGTATTCTAACATCAGCAAAATCAACAAACATTAAATGAAGCCATCTTCTGAACAAAAATGCTCAGAAAGACTGTGATTTGGAAAACTTGAATAAAGAAAATTTTGATTTCCAAATGACTCAAGGGCAGTGGAAAAGAGTTTTTCAAAGGTTACTGAAAACTACCCTGAAATCCAGCTTTCCTTGCAAAAAAAGAGACCTTTGCCATTCACTCACCCATGCTCACTCACCCAGCTTTAAGGAAGGAATACTTTTGCTTTGAGTATTTGCCTTCTCTACTTTAAGAAACCCCATTTTTCTCAATCCTGCCCAGACTCTCTCCTCAGTCCATTAATGATGCCTTTGCTTTTTGTTACTGATATTTTCATTCCTTACTTGAAGTCACATAGCCACTGCTATGGGTGTAAGACCTCTTTTCAACTCCACTTCCTCCAGTGTGGGATGATGTCTTGAGTCCACTACTGCTCCCTCCTTCTGGAATAGATGAGCACAAAATGAGATTCTGTCACAATTAAAGATGAGAAGAACAAAAATACTACAAGACGAGGCAGAAGGTACCCAAAACCATTGTTACACTCAGTTCCAAGGACAGCTTAATGTCTGAAAAGGCATCAGAACTGCAGAGAAGTATCTCAGCAGAGCAGATACAGACTCAGCAGGTTTGTAGTCAAGTTTTGATTTGAGCATGGGCTGGAAGATGCTCCTGTTAACTCTCATCATAAATGAGATAGTGCAATGCCTTTTCAACCCTACTGCAGAATAGACAAATGTTCCCTGTTTGTTACACAGACATAGAAATAACCTGTGACATCTGATACTAAGCAAAGGGATTATTTGCGTTTGTAAGCTGGATAAGATGGAGGCCAGAGACTCATCACTTTTGATCTCAAGACAGAGTCTGTGGTAGTGACTGTATCTGGGTGCCACTCTTGAAGAGCCAGGTCTACCAGTCTTAGTGCACTCTGCGCTTTGTTACTGCTCCTTCTCTCTACCAAAAAGTATTTTGGGAGAAGTATTTCTCAAAATAGCTTAAGTGTTAGTATTTCTGCACTGACACCTGCCAGACCCAGGGACTTACAAAAGTAATGAAGCCGAATAACACAGAGGGACAGCAGTCACAAAGCAAAAGTAATGCAGTAGATCACAGTTACTTACTGGGTGGTAAAGATGTCAGTCTTGTAGTTACTGTCTCTGTAATAACTGAGGAAAGAAAAGTTACAATTCAGAAGTTATTGCATGTTCATCCAGTCAGACAAGATCAGTGTTCCACTTCATTCCATGGAAGAACATGAATTATTCAAATAAGATTAACTCATTTAAGGAGAAGTCCCTTGAGACTATATTGCCTGGGCACTGAAAGCTGTGTGTTTTCAGACTACTGTCATGCTACAGTAACTAAATGTATCACTGCCATGAAAGACATGAAAGTGATATTATTTCAGGGCACTACTTAACCACAGCGATTGCTGGAAAAGTAAAGCCCAGGTCAGACTCCTTACTAGCTTTCTACAGAACCTGCTTTAGCAGGGCGTAGCACTAGCCAGTCTCCCTTCCAGAGGTCCCTTCCAACCACTACAATTCTGTGATTCCTACTAGCTAATTCCCACAATGTCAGCAGAATCCTGTTTTACCCTATTATTACACAAAGACAAGAAAGATATATAATAAACAGTTTGAAGACTGTGCATGGCATTTGTTTCAGAAGCAGAATTAAAATGTCTGCACTACTGGCTAAAGATGTTATCACAGGCCAATAAATTCTGGTTAAACAATCAGGTCATCGTATAAGTCTAAATGCCTGTTTTTGCCCTGTTCTATTCCTTCTTTTGATTTGGGTTAAAATATCAAGGACAGATGCAGAATTTAGTCCTGGACCCCTAGTCAGTCCCTCACAGAAGTGCCAACATGGTTGCTGTATTTTTGGAGTGTGATCCAGTCTTGTAACATGAAAATAAAAAAATGTTCTCCTTACGTCTCTCTGTAACTTCTGATCCATCTTGCCTCGTTTTCTTTGTTAAAGAATCCATATCATTTCCACCTGCATGGAAGCCATAAAGACAGTGCTCAGAGCTTTGCGAAGAAAAAAAGATGACAACAAATTCCTGTAAGTCCCATCATTTTTCTCTCTTAGCAGAGGAACTGCCTGAAATTCAGTTACAGCAGAGTTTGAAATATCTTTCTAGAACCACCTGAGTACTACTAACAGAACAGCAACAAGTCCCTGCAAAACTGGAAGCTAGACAATGCATAAAGGCTGAAATAGCAGGAAGGGTTGTGAAGCCAGCAGGGGAGCTAAGGGCAATCAAATTCAACCAGAACTGGACAAGTTTAGACCTGGATTTACATGCAGACTTTGCGGCACTACACCACGGTCTTTAGCTGGATCTCTATAAAATTTTAACAAAACCATAGGATTCAAACATTAGTCCTACACACCTGTTCTGTACAGAAATCAACAACATTGGATTAGAAATGCAGACAAGTTCACGAGTTCTGCCTCTGTTACCTACACACGCTGTGCCAGTGCTACAAGAAAAGCAGAAATATCACAGCACTTTGACAGTGCTACAGGCCATTCTCAAGATACGTTGATGCTAAAACCACAGAACTGACTTGAGTGAAGCAAAAAACAAAACAAAACAAAGCCACCCACCACAAAAGATACCTTTAAACCACCTGTTTTCAGCAGCAAGGGACTTAAGGTAGGAAGTGCTTTATCTTGCTTTACGAACCCATGTATGCAGCTGTAGAACCTGAGCTAATTCAGCCAGCTCAGGTCAGTCTACACAGTATTGAAATCACTGCTGTAAATGCCATCTATACTCATCATGGCTTGGATGCCTCTCAAGTCATAATTATGTCTCTAGCAGAGGTATGACTGGCTGCCAAAGCAGAAACATCACAATGACTGTGGAAAAGAAACAACAGAAGCTCAAGAGAAAATACTCCTATCAGAAGGAAATATACAGTTGCTCACCCCTATTCTAAGACAACATTTCATTTTGCATAGTTGCAAACGCTTCAGAGATTTTAATTTGTGCAGAAGGTGATAACAAGTAAAAGTTCTCCACTGCATTTGATGACTCCTTCAAACTGAAAACTCCACTGTACAGAAAATGACACTAAGTGTAGTTTTCACAGGCTGAGTCCAAAACATTTTGGGCAAAAGTCCTTTCAAGTTTCCAAAGTCCAGCTTGAGGAAGAACATAAAACTGTGCCCTCCAATTCAGCTACCACTCAGGTTTGGTCCTCATGACTCCACTTACCCTTCTGCACCTCTGTGTGTTTGTATAGCTCACACATAGGTAATGACACAAGGCAGGAAGCAACAGAGAATCTGGAGGAATATCTAAGTTCAGATTCAGATCTGCCTTTGAACAGCACCCAATGTTCCCAGAGTTGGAGAGGAAGAAGCTGAATGTAGAAGGTATGCCATGAGGCAAGCCACTGTAGTTCATGCCTCCCACCATAGACTCAGCTGAACTTTACACAGAACTCAACAGGGCTCACAGCCCTCAACCTCAACACCTCAGCCCCGCAGCGCAGCTAAGCAGCCTGGCACACGGTGGCCACATGCAAGTCCTTACACAACACTGGCAGCAGGACACTACCCAACCCTTACAGCATTTGCCTACACTGGGGATTTCCAAGGGATTCTCCAGAGAGCTGATTCCAAGTCATATACAAGGCTAGAGTTACACGTGTCATGGGAGCTCCTCCTTAAGCAGGATTCCAGTCTCCTGCACTGGAACGCCTCCTGGTCACACACTCCAAGAAAAGGCAGTATCCGCTACTTTTCCTTGTTACATCAACAGTGGAAGCATATCTGAAGCTCATTCTCTAAAAGCACATGCTGAAAGTTGCTGTCTAGATCTCAGCAATTCTGGCTTTGCCAACATCTAGAGAAGGAACACAGCTTTACATTCAGAAACTGCTTCTCTACCACTCTGTAGCCCCAGAATTTCCCTTTTGCTATTGGGAAGCTGTGCTGGTTATGGATGCTGTACCATAGGCCAGTACCAGCACTGAGTGAACACATCTGCATCTTCCTCCCCTTGAGAGAGAGGAATATCTTGCTCTGATACCAATCAGAAAAAAAAAAATAAGGAGAAGAGATTAAACAACATCTTTGAATCCACACATCCCACAGCTCAGCCCAGCCCTGGCACACAGCGCATTTTGATCTTGCATGTGTTTTTGCCACGTGAATGCAAAAGCCAGCCCAGGTTCTAGAGGGCTGACTAAGCTTCATTTCCATTATCTGCCAGGACTGACTCACTTCACCAGCTCCTCCTACCTGGATTCACAAAGGTGTAGCTGTAGGCTATGTCTGAGGTAAAGGAATAGCACTGTTGAATCAGAGAAGTCACCAGCAGTTATTTCAGAGCGATAAACAGGAGCTCATGAACTGGGATCACCCACAAATAGTGGAGGTGTCTAAGGCAGGGTGACCCTAAAGCTGATTTAATGTAAACTGGGGCTGAGGTGTGTTAGTGGCCCTCATAAAAACAGAGAACTTGCACAAGGAACCAGGAGAGCTCTTGCAAGACCAGAGCTGTGCAGGCTGCTTCCTCTCTGCAGCACCGACAAGCAGGATGATGAGAGCAGCCCAGCTTTACAAAGCATGTTTAATCTCTGCTTTCATATTAGACCAGCGCTGCAGTCTGAGATGAAGCACTCCAACTTCTTTTATTGTTTTATAAGCTACGTATTACTTGTGTGCAATGGCAATAAAATGTATCACAAGCATTTTTCAAAGGGGAAGGGGAAAAGCTATTTTATAGCCATGAAGACTATCATATAAAAACAGGAGTAGGTGCATTTCAGATCCTTTTATTCCTCCGCAATGTCCCTCCAGTTCTCACGTCCGAATGCTGTTACGTTCTCACAACACAAACTTTCAGCTCTCTCCTCCCTCCACTAACATGGCTTATGCTGTGAGATACTCCTTCAGGATAAAGAGGCACCTGCAGCTGCTAGGATGCATTATACTTAATGTCAGAAGAACCCTTTGAACATAAATAATGTGAAACAGTAGAAGACTCCAATCAACGTCATTGATAGCGTTAAAAACAAATGCTGAAATTTGTTGCTGAAAAACTGTGCTGAAATTTATAGGATTGGTTAAAAAATGCCCCCTTATCTTTCTTTCACATCACCATCTAGGAACTTGACCTTCTCATTCTGCTTCAAAAGCTATTCCTTTCACTTCCAGTTACTCAACCAAAAGCAACAGTCAGGAAGGATTTTTCTTTTTTAAAGAAGCTTCCAAAATGGCTCATTCAGCAGGTTCCCTCAAACGATGCTAATACCAAGAAAGCAGGCTATGTGCAAAGCTTGGATATGCTGTAGGACAACTCACAGCCTCAAAGCCATGCACCAAATCATCCAGTCGGTCAGTCCAAAGGCTGGAAAAGAAGACAGATCTTTTACCTTTTTTCATTGTGTTCAAATTGCAAAACCAGCTACAAAGTGGGGAAAAAAAAAAAAAACAGGTCTCTTCTAACTTACTGCGACAAAGCTTCAAAAACACTTTACAAGGCCTCCTAACCTTCTGTGACAAAAGGTGGCCCAAAGTCCATAATAAATGGCTCATAAATAAATACAGCTGTATGACACAAAGCAAAGCCTGTCCACAGCAAAACTGACAGACTCAGAAGCACCTCCTGGCTCTTTCAGGACTTATTCCTTCATCTTACATTCTGAAGCCACCATTTGAAGCTTCAGTTTGCAAACATTACTTCTCCATCACATTTCAGATCCTCTCAGTTTCAAAAATAGCCAATAGATGTTTCACACTTCACCATGCTGCTGCCCTTACAGAATGGAGAACATTCAGTTAACTTTATTTGCATGGTAGTTTCACAGAATGTATTAAAAATGCACACTGAACTCAACTTCACATTTTTTTTATCTACCAGCAGATAAATCCCTTTAGCTCGATAATCAGATTTAAGAGCTACGTTCACGGATAAATACAAAATGCAAACAGACCCAGCTCTACCACGATCTTAATTTTACATTGTATTCCCCCTTAGCAGTAACATAACACCTCCGCTATTTCGCCTTTTATTCTGTTTTGTTTCATTTTTCAGTAATGTAACTTACCTTGTATGCTTTGGTTACTGAACTGAAAATCTGATTTTCTCCTCAACCGTTTCCCGTTTCCTATACAATCTGCCACCTATACTATCATGTCCCTCCAAAGGTGTGTGAAATCTGAACGATCGTCCAAAAATGTTCAGCTCTTCTTAATTTAACCTGTTTTACTCTCACCCTTCTTGCGCTTTTCTATTCCCCTGCTCTTAAACAAGTCCTGACAAAGGCGTGTCGTGGTTTCCTGCCTCACCCTACCCTTCCAATTATCTGACACTCACTGGAAAAAAAAAGTCTGCCTCCAGGAGTCAAACTTCACCGAAAGCATGAACGCTCCTACTTATTTGCTCAGGTAGATTAACTATGTAGATCCCAGAAGGGCAAAGCTAGGAAGGCTTAAGTCAGGGAAAATGAACTATTATCACCGTGCTTTCTGAGACAGATCTGAGTATTTAACACATGAATTACACCTGTTTTGGCATTTTCTCACAGAAGGTTATGCAGCACCTGCTGATATTGCTGCAAAGCTGATGGTGAGATAATCACATTTTGCCGCTTGCATACAATGGATTAAATTCCCAGCTAGCAAAAATAGGCTGAAAACCATTGGAATCAGTACCCTGAACTGGCTTGCAGACCCCACAGATATTTACTCTCTGCTCAAGAGGCAGCATTATCATTAAATATCATAACCACACACACAAAACTGAGTAAGCAATGTCGTATCTTCTGTATCTACCACTTGCAAGAGGGCAAGCAGAGGGGTCGTTAAAGAAACGCGTGCTGATATGAGCCTAGCGTTCTCTGGAGACTTCTTGAGTCAAAGGCAGAAGTTTTGCAACCATTCCTTGATGGAACTTTTTCCATTAATTTGTCCAATTAGTTTTGGAATCTGTACAACAATTTAGCATACCCAGTGTCTTGCAGCAAGCATTTTCACAGTTTAGCTATGCCTTGCAGGAAGAATTTTCCTCCTCCTCCTGAACAAAATAGTGTCGTTTGGTATTTTGTTATAAAAATCAGAATCTGCCATAGCTTCACTTCCTCTACAGACTTTGTAGGACTTGTACCATGAGTGGAAGAGAACTTAGGCTCACAGAATTACTAAGACTGGAAAGGACCTCCAAAGATCACCTAGTCCAACCGTCAACATGTCACCACCATGCCCACTAAGCTACGAAAATCTCCAGAAGAGGTGACTATCACTTTCCTATTCCAAAACCTCACCACTCTTTCTGAGAAGACATTCTTCCTCATAGGCAACCTGAACCTCCCCTGGTTAACTTAAGGCAATTGCCTCTCATCATAGAACTTTTGGCACAGTTGGTATACAGCATTACACAAAGGGTTGGCCCTTCTTTGTTGATGGAGACCAAAATTTCATCAGAATTCATCAATGCATCTCTTAAATTCCATAACTTGTTTTCATATTTATCTTTAGTCAGATGTATGCTTATAAAGCAAAATTTCCTCTTTGCATGGAAGAAATATCCATGACTCTGCCTTCTAAACACTAATCAAAGGATATTTAGATGTCTAAACAAGATGCATGTGGTAATTAAGTCATTAAGAGGAGTAGAGCTCAGTCTAAGACCTTACCAAACTGCTCATGGCTCATGACTTGACATGAAATATAAAAATAGCTTTAGCTTTATGACCTTCATTGCTTCTTAAAATGGTGCATTACTGTCCCTCTTATTACCAACTTCACTTTTAACCCTTTGGTTGTCATCTCATTTAGATCTGCTCCCAGCACAACACACAGCTGTGTGCCTCAAACATACCTTGGCTGCTCACAGTGACAGCTCAAGGAAAGGACTGAATACACTGGGCTATGCTATGTTTTTAACACCCACCAGTATGAGATGGACTCACTGGAACAGCAAATAGACCTTAGTGGAGGAAAAGACGGGACCTCAAATTTTCCACGTAATGCCCTCAGGACTGGAGGAATTCTCTTTTTCCTTTACCTTTGTCCTAAAGTTCACTACTTCTGTTCATACATGTATAAAGAGAATGTAGCAATTTTGGGTAAATAAGCAACTCACAGTATTTTAATTCCTGAAACGTGATTGGTGACTAAGATACTGGTATAAGGCTTCTTGGCGACAAAGCATTAATGGTGCTGCTCTTTATGAGTTATTTTGCCAACTTCCTTGTAGAAAGAAGAAGGAGGAGGAGGAGGAGGAGGCATGACATACAGGTGTCTTAAAAGGAAAGTAGAAATAAACCATACCTTGAGAATACTGACACTGCATTTAGAAGTGAAAGTGCAACAAAATATGAAGTTGAGGAGGATGCTGGTAAAATCTGCCTGAAGAAACACAGTGATTTGTACTCTCACATTCTTAATGGGCAAGTATCAACATCAAGGACATAATTCAGAGAGGTAACGAGCTGCCTCAGCTTATGCTGGGTCAGTGATTGTCTCAGGTATTTGGAACCACTGAAAGCCAAGTGCTTATCTACCTGGCTCACTGCAATGAACTGCAGCTGAGCTCTCTTCAGGCCAAGCAGTCAACTGTCACTTCTGCAGTAGCAGTGGCAGTTTGTGGAGTGGTGGTCAGAGCTGTGGAGGCAAGGTGAGATTCTCCTGGAAGTGGCAATCACCATTCTGCTGTTTCCACATCCATCCTGCTTTAGATTGTAGATGGTGGATTCTGCAGATGTGGAGTCACACTGCTGGGTGCACCTGGGAATGTTCTCCCACAGACAGAATTTGCTGCTGTCCCTGTTCCCAGCACTACAAGTCCCACAGACTTAAGTTGTTCTATCAGTGCTTTGAGCCTGCAACTAGAAAGATCAAATCACAGACAGCACCACATTCTCTGGTGCTTTTTTTTTACCCTTTAGGAGCTTGCATGCTCCTGGGAGGTGCTGGAAAAGTCTGACCTGAAATCCAACGTGAAGTTCTCACACTTACAGAGATTCCCTTGGACAGTGAGTAGCAGAAACATTTAGTTTTCCAGATACTTCCGGTGCAAGGACAGTGCAGAGATGACATCCAAGGATCCACCCTTTGGGCAAAATTGCTTCTATAGCAAAATGAAGCTAATTGTTAAGGACATCAGCAGTAAAAAGCCTTGTGAGCTAATTCGGAGAGGACTGCTTAATTATAAAGCCCTTGCTTAGAACTGGTTTAAGAACCTATGAAGATGCCCTCAAAGCCTGCAGCAGCTGATGCTGGCATGAAAAAGGCTGAGGATCATAGAACCATAGAGTGACCTGGGTTGGTAGGGACCTGAAAGATCCTTAAGTTCTATGGGTAGCCATGGGCAGGGTAGGAAGGTAAGGGAGATCACACCGTGCATTTGCTGCACTTGGAAGTACGCTGTGCTATGGCAAAATCTGAATCACTTTTCCCTCTGCAAGTCAAGTCCAAAGATAAAGAACCTAGAAATTAAACCTTGTCACAGCCATACTCTAGCACCTTAAAGTATGTTTATGGTTTAGAAACAACCAATTGATAACTATTCGGTATCTAACTTCAGAGAGATCTGCTTAGCACAGGATAAATTGCTGACAATTAACACATAAATTACACTGCTAGTGAATCAGCCATTTATCTGGTTAGAATACTGCAGGCCAACAGAAAGATGGCAAACACAGGGAAGAAGATACAACACCTATTTACAGGTAGCAACTGCAGTTCCCCATGTGCCCTGGTTTTTGCATGCTAGGGCCAAGCAGCAACAGAACCAATGAGAGCACCCTGAGTCACTCCTTTACTCAACATCCCAAGCCCACAGTTTGCACATCACTTGAAAAACTCATCATGAGCAACCTCAGGCATGAATAACAGCCTTGTGGGGATCTGATCATTTCTTCTGAGGTGCTGAGAGATGAGTAATGTCAAGATGCAAAGAACACATCACTAACACAATCTCACAGGTCTCAAGAGAGTTCAGTGATAGAGAGAAGTCTTGGTTGTTTGTACTTATTAATATAAAAGCTATAGATCTAAGGACTGTCTTTCCTTTCTCCTTCTGATTTATACAGCACTCCACACAACAGGAAGCTTGTTACAGCTTCTAAGGTCTATTACAAAGCACCTAATAAATAATAATAATTATAATAAAACTACGTATGCATATGGATCATTAAAAAACACTGATCTTAACAGTATAGGATAAACTGAACTGTACTGATCCAGAGGAAGGACCAGGCTATTCTGGTGGGGGGCAGAGAACAGGAGGAGATAGTTGAAGACTTGGTCTTGTTGCTCTCACTATCACTATGCAGATGGGAGCAGTGCTTGGCAGCTGTAGGCAGCTGTCTGCCTCTGCCCAGAGACAGGCCTGTACACACAGACAGCGGGGCTGTGGTTCTGTCTTGGTGCTCTGAATACAACTGCCTAATAGTTACCTGCAAGCAGCACAGACTTACCGCTGGGAACGGACATGGGCATTGGCTTGTGCATCTGGGACTGCTCCTTACAATAGAAGTTCTGGTGAGAGACAGATCCAAACAAAATACACCCGTGATCTCATAAAGTCTGCCTGTCCTCTCGGCAGCCTTTTAAGTGCATTGATGCTTGGGCACATTTTACATCTTGGTACAGGTCAGGCTGCACAGCAGGAGCAGGCTGTCAGGACCAGCCACATCAGATCACCTCAGATGCCATCAAAGCTGGGATGTTAACCAACATGTCTGCAACATGATAAGCTGTTATCTCTGCCTCTCATTCTGTGTTCTCCCTCACCTGAGGCCACTAGGGAGCTCCCACAGCTGACCAGCAAACCACAGCATCTGCCAGGGAACACAGCCCTGAAGCAGATGGACCTGATCACACTGCTCTTCTGAGAGTTTTAACTACAGAACTTTCATTCACAAGACTCCTCTCCTTGGTGATGGAGTAATGAATAATCTCTTCCACTTTGTCTTCTGGATAAGAGTTGCCTCCAACACATTCTGTACAACAGCACAGCTATGAGCTTAACAGAGTCTCTTTCTTGATGCTGCTAGTTACTTGCAATCAGGCCACTGCCCAAAGTGCTCGGTCAATGAGAAAGGAAGCCAGTCACCAAGTATTTTATTTAAGAGAGCGCACAGTCTGATCATTCCCTCTCCTTTAACTTTTAAAAAGCTACCTACTTGCAAGTTCATCTGTGAACTCTTTCTCAATTTTAGGACTAGTCCAAAAATATGCACCAGAAAATGCATAATTTGCTGTCTTTGTATACCAAATGTTTCAGGCAGCCAAGCAGCAAAGGGCAAAACCAATTCCAAATGACCCAGCTGTGTTTTATGCCAATGTGGCATAAAATGGACAAAAGACAAAGCAAACTATTTACAAATAACTGGCAGCATGCAAAAAAACTTTCTGGCAGCCCCAAAAAAACAAGGTTGATTTGTGAATTGCACCCCAGCTGTACCTATGATCAAAATTCTAAGCAATTAGTATTTCAAACAAACAACTCAAATAGTCCTACCAGCTGCCACTTGGAAGCCTGCAATTTTTCAGCATTATTGCGAAAAGCAACACAGGAAGAACATTCAATGCAAAGTACATACAGGACAAAAGCAAAGCTTCGGACAGTTATCTTACAGATCTGACTCAGAAAATACTCAATGCTATTGAGAAAGAATGATTTCTGTCTGCCATCTTGACAGAAGATTTAAAATCCCCTTTGGCTAAAAAATCCTGGCAGAAAATGTCTGCCAGGCTCAACAACAGCTTGCAGCAACTCACCTCCTACCTCAGGAGCAAGATTCTCATTAGCAGGGTTGGAAACACATGGGAAGGTGATTGGAAGGCTTGCTGGAAGCAATTTCTTTTTTTCTTCTTTTCTCCAGCCCTTCACACTTCTGCTCTTCATGTCTTTTTCCCCCAGCAAGTTTCAAAAGGTCGCTTTTGATCAGTGATTATTTCACAGACCAGAAAGGATTTTTAGAAGGCCCTGGGAAAAGAATACTCATGTTCTAACATTCAGATGAGTTTGTACACAATCCAATTTGAATATATTTAGTCACAGGCAACAAAATTAAACGCTAGGACATACACAAGGTTGTGCACATAGCTCATATCCAGACCAAGAGGACTGGACACGCACTGCGGATAACTGCAGACTCAGTAGGGAAGTAAGCACCGGCACTGATTGTTGCTAGATTAAGTTGCTTCTTGTACTTACATAACTGAGATTTAAAAGAAATAAGTCATATTTCTGAGTTTCTGTTTGTCCTGTTTGAACTCTGGAAACCAAATCACACAGTAGATAATGTCTAGCACTATTTAAACTGCATAAGGTGACTGTGTTGAGCACTACTACAGTGTCACTTCCTAAGTGCATTTTTCCTACTATCAGAAACAAGGGAAGTTAATTGTTATCATAAGCACAAAGGTTGGCGAAGTCTGGGGAGGATGATGAAAAATAACAACCTGCAAAAATCACATGAATTCTAACTGTATTGCATGCTGAGTTTGTAGATGTGCTCCTGCTTGTGCATTCATGGCAGTAGGTTTGCTAATTAATACTAACATCTAATATTGAAAGGCTAAGAGTGTCCCCTTAGTTTAAATCTATCAAATTGCAATCATGGCATTATATATATATTTTTATGAAGAAACTAGAAAATCCCAGTGGTGAATACATAGACTTGGAATATGCAAGAACTGGCACAAGTCCTCTCTCTGATACACCTGTAATGGTGATTTAAAACTGTGATTTTCACATTGTTCTCTCTGATCCTCTGAGCAGATAGTCTGCCCTGGGCTGAAAAGGCTTTCAGAAAATGTTTCCTTCAAAACAGCAAGATTTCTAGATGTGTCAAGCTTATGAAGCCATGTTTCTGATTGAAATAAAAAAGCGTTTTTGTAAAAACGTTATAAAATATGTGCTTTGTGTACCCTGAGAACTTCTGATCGTTCCTCTGAGGCCCACGCATGATGAGGACTGAGGCTACTCAGCAAATTTACTGACTCACATTTGAATGAAAGATCAGAACTACAAGATTTCTGTCCCAGAAGTCATCTCTGTTATACAGCAACACGCTCCTTCCTCTTCCTTACTAGCAAGGTGCTACCTGTGATTAGGCTCTCAAGCATTTCAGGGTGGTGCTCACTTTTCACTGCCAAACTAAACAGAATGAAAAGTCCTTGATGGGCCACTGAGGTGCTCCCTGTAAGGGAACATATTGTATTGTGAGCCCCATTTATTGCTAGTAATTAGAAAAGATTTTCTGGACTGCTTCAAAACCATAAAATCAATTAGCTTCCAAACACATGGTTATCTGAGTACTGGGAAAGAGTTTTGAATCAGGAAGAGACCACTTTCCGTTAACATAAAGCTGAAATATGCTTGTTTCTGTTGCATTTGTTTTGATCTGGTTTAGCACCACACACTGTGGAGCAACTCTACACCTTTATTTGGTACAAAAGATAATATCATAGCACATGCAATAACTGCCTGGGGCAAGCAGTCACGTGAAACTGATTTAATTCCAATTTCTGCTTCTATTTATTTGTTGCACTGGTCCCCAGTAAAGGTTTGAATCCTTCATCCTGGCTTCTATCTTTCTGCACCTGCTTTTCCTGGGGCACAAAGCCTCACCTGCCATGTACAGGCTTGCAAAGCCTTAATTTAAATGGCACTCCTTTATTAGAAAATACATTCCAGAGGCATAAAATATTATTATCCAATACACATGGATAGAAGACTGCTGATCTGCAGGACTGGAAGCACAAGACAGGACATGAGACTTCTGGTAGTATCAGTCTCCAGAATACACCACACATGGCAGCTGGAAGCACATGTTTTCTGTACTGAAGTTGGAGACCCTTCTCTTTCACACCATAAAAAACTATGAACTAAAGAGAAATGCATTACTCTCATGCAGAGCCAGTAGTACTTCTTCAGAGTCACCTTCTCCTTGGAAACACTGTTACAGAAATTATGCCTCTGCAACTCTTTTCTTTTATCCCAAGAACTGCTAAGTAACCTCTAGGACGCCTCAAAAGAGAGGTGGTCAAAAGGAAAGGGAGGTGGCTGCTGCCTTCTGCTCTGCCCTTGTGAGGCTCCAACTGGAGCACTGCATCCAAATCTGAGGCCTCCAGTACAGGAAGGATGCAGAGCTGTTGGAGTGAAACCAGAGGAGGCCACGAAGGTGATTAAAGGGCTGGAGCACTTCTCCTATGAAGAAAGATTGAGAGTTGGGCTTATTTAGCTTGGAGAAGAGAAGGTTCCAAGGAGCCCTCACTGTGGCCTTCCAGTACTTGAAGGGAGCTTACAAGCAGAAGGGGAACTGACTTTTTACACAGTCTAACAGCAGTAGGACAAGGGGAAATGGCTTTAAACTAAAAGAAGGGAGAGATTTAGGTTAGACACTAGGAAGAAAATTTTTATTCAAATGAGTGGTGAGGCACAGGCTGCCCAGAGAAGTTGTAGGTGCCCAACTCCAGAGGCACAAGTCCAGACTGGCCAGCTTGATTTGACTGACTGGCAGCCCTGCCCATGCCAGGGAGGCTGGATATAGATGGTCTTTAAGGTCCCCTCCATCCTACATCATAGAATGGCTTAGTCTGCAGTGCATTGTTTCTACTCCTTGATTTAACACCTAAAATTTTTAACTTTTTACAAGTTTAAATTACAAGTGCAATGATTTTTAGTTTTCTGCCTATTTTTTTTAAGCTCTTCTGAAAAGACAGTAACCTTCATAAGGCAATGCACCAACAGATCTATGAAGTTGTGCACAACACCTTTGATACAATTTTATTCCTGTTAGAAGTAACATGTCAGACATTACACAGAAAGACTATAGTAAAAGCAACATTTTCAAAATGTTTTTTGTAGGCTACTATGCACACTTTTTTTCTTACTCAAATAAAAAAGCAAGCTCATGGTGGAGTTTGTAACAGTTTCTACATCACTTGTGCACCAGTACAGTATCTCTCTTCTCCTTATTAAGGCTTCAATTCATACAACAACCTCCAGTATTAAGGTATTTCAAAATCATCTGCTATTTTCTTCAGAAATGGAACAGGGTGGATGGACTGAATGACTGCATAAAATATATGACTCTTTCAATAAAACCATACAGAGCAAACAAAGTCAACAAGTCCTAAGCTTTCGTCAACATCAAGAGCTAAAAACACCATCACAGGACTTTATAAGCAGTCCTTGACTCCCTAAGAACACCTCAGGAACAGGCACTAAAGGCGTCACACCGTTGAGCTTCCGTTTGCGGCTGAGTCAGTCTGCTAGCAGACTCTGAACAGAGGATGATACACGTTACAGGTGACTCTGCACAGAACATACTTTTCTTCTGACGTTTAATATGAATTGATTGCTTATAAGAAGTCTCACTTCTATCAGCTTTGCAGAAAGCACATTAGTCTTTCTTCAGCCTTGTAATTGCAAGCATCTAGACAGAGGAAACTGTCTGGATGTGCTGTTTGTTCTGTCGTTGGTTGTCCCTGTCACAGTACTGGCCTTTGCTCTGATCGTGAGAAAGCTGGCACAGCTGAAACTGTGATCCAGCTTCCTGCCACACAGGGCATTTTCTCTAAGATCTATAATACAAGGTCTATCTTTCTCAATTTCTATTGTTATTTAAGGATTTTTACAGTTTTAGCATAAGCATTATATATTTTACCTTTTATATTTTCACGTATGTTTGATTTTTATGCTTAAATTAAAATATACAGAAATTATTTTTATTTTTTATCATTATGTCTCTTTCACAGTGCTTTTCGTTTGCATCTTGCTATGTAGCCACAGCGTTTGTGGATTTCCTGTCATTTTTGTATGCCAGCACTTCAACATTTTTGATTTCACATCTGTATCTTACAGCTGGCACAGAGCTCCTGACCATACAAACAGTCCTGTAGAGATGGAACTACAGAGCAGACCCACAGTATTCAGCAGTCGCAACAGAGACTCATCATTACTCTTAAGAAGCCACGTGGGAAAAAAACAGAGATTAGGGTTTAAATGAGCCAGTCTCCACTTTTTTTATTGTTGTTGTTTTTCGTCTTGCCTCTGAGTTAATTAGGAACAGAAGTAAAAGCTGGAAACCATGGCTGAGGCTGCAGAATAGTTGGAGTCACACCATTTATCAATAGCAAGGAGAACAAATATTTGAACAGCACTGCTGAAGTTGAAATTCACAGCTAGCAGTTCAACAACAAGAGTTTTTCAATCAGTTTTAGGATTCTCACTGCTCTTTAATATAGAGCATCTTTCAGTTTGTAACTTTCTTCTTACGTGGGTTCAAAACAGGATTTGGCATCAATCATAGCAATTTTCTTTCTGCTTCCATTCCCCCATGTCTCCAAGCCTCCCACCTTACCTTAGAGATCATGCTACTGCAAGCAAATCTCTAGCCAGACACACCTTCCCCATACAATACAAAGCGATACACTAATTCCAACCAAGGTCTGTTCAGTGAAGGATAAACAGAAAGAAAGAAAATCTGTGACCCAGCAGAGAGCAGAGCAGATGCTAGTCTGTGGTATTTCCACCTGAACTAGTCCTGCTTCAAAGGAGCACAACGGGACATCCATCCACGCTTATTGGTGCAGCAGTACCAACAAGTGATACCATCTGCAGAAATCAGGCAGCTCTGTCACAAATGCTGGTCTCGCAGTTCATGCAGAGTTAGAATTCAGATATCTGAACTGCTGCATTGCCCACAACTCATCTAACTAATCTGTAACTCGTTTCTACAATCAAAATGACAATGTCAAGATGGCAACTGTATGGCAGCTCTCCAATACACCAGATTTAATTGGGATACTTTTATTTTCTGCAGGACTTCTATGTCTTCTGGAGGCAAGAACACACCTTTATTTTTAGCTGCTGACTTCATGCAGTTCTCATGATGGTTACATAGAAAA